GAAAACATAACACGTGATTTATATCTATTTTAATCCAAAGTCACTTTCGATTCACACTCAGTTTTTGTTTTCTTTTTTTTTTTTGCTTTTTATTGTGCTGACACTATATGAACTATGAACTATACTAGCATTATGTTTTCTGAAAGCAATAAGGTGAAATGGGAATTGCTGTTCCTGGGAAATTTAGATGAGTGTCTTTTTGAGGCCAAAAACCACAAATATTTCATTGGAACTTTTGTGTTAATGCTCATTATAAGAGGTTAAGGTTTTCTGAGCTTGCTTTGTAAAATTACAGGGAGTGACATTAAAAAGAGTGAATGATGATTCTCTGTCCACAAGAAACCTATTAAACATTAAATTGTTTAGGCTAGGTGATTTCCAAAGAGACAAAATTCTGATGCAAATTTTAAATTTATATTTTTATGTACATTAATATAGTTCATACTTTGCCAAATTTATTATTGGTTTTGGAGCCTGAGCACCAGCATAGATCATGAGCCTCTGTAGCCTCTGAGTAATTTTCCTAATTTTCAGTTTTATGATTCAGCAGTAACATTACTTACATGTAAAGCGTATGTGACACCAGCTAGGTTTCTACCAGATTCTAGATTCATGGGTTCTGTGAAAAAAAAAAATTCTGTGCAGTGGTCTAATTGGAGAATCACGAGTACAGCTGGTTTTGTTTATACCATTCAGAGGCTAAAAAGGCAGAAAAGGTTTTAGCGCCTTGAGCAGTGAAGTGAAAACTAAAGAAACTGAGAGGAGCATCATCACATCTCAGCATATCTTGCAGCTGTAATGGGATATATACTGTATATCAGCAAATCTTTGAAATATTTCATTTCAGATTTATTTTCTTGCATCCAAGCAATGTCTGAATTTTTGTGTCTGCTGTTAAAAGATCATGCCATACTATTAAAAACTGTTATATGAAGGGAAATTTGCTAGGTTCTTTAATTGCATAATATTGACAAGGCTGAGGACAATATACAGTACAACCCCACTCCTTCACAGAATGCCTGCTATGATTCTTTCTAGCATTTACCTTTTTTTTCAGAACATGCACATGCCATTCTGACTTTAGCTCACAGCAACCAATTTATACCTGTTTTTGTGTCAGCTAGACCAGCGCTGGATTGCAAGAATAGTTTTTTGAACATTTTTTCTCAGTCTGTCTTCAGCAGAAGGGGACCTTAGTTTGTATTGGTGTGAACATTATGCCAACATGAATGCTGATGTTCATGGGTTGACCTGACAAGTATTTTTGAAGGTTGGTTAAGGAAAGTGACTTTGATAATGACACCTCAGGTTGTCCGACTATACTAATAGCTGAATGAAAGTCAGATAGACTTTTAATGTTACCTATTATGTTGTTGTGTGATCTCAATGACTTTGCCAGTGCAGTCTTGATTAGTGTGCAGCCTAGGATAAGTGAGAGTGGAGTGTTCTGCCAATGCATAGAATAGTATTGTATTATTGTATACAAGAGGATGTGTGTGGGTTTTATGGGTTTCAGTGAGAATTGCTATATTGTACATCTGGTTCTGTAATAGAAAATGTTAATCTATCATTTAAACAATTATTATAGATTTTGAAAACTATCCAATGCACATTCAGAAAGTCACAACAGTCCAGTGGTCATTTGTAGTCACAACATACTTCCTTAACTTTAGAGACCCACTTCAACTAAGTGCTTGAGTTTGAAAACAGTCATTTGTATTCAATGCTGAGTTACATTTGCTCTGTCAGCTCCAAGCTGATGAAGGTTTTTGTTTTTCCTCCAAAAATGGTCAAGTTCAAAGCCTACTCTTTTATTGAATTGGTGCGCACAGAATAATTATCTCCTGCATCTTTGCTGTCAGCTTTTATTAGTGTGCCAGGCACAATTTGCTGTCCTGCTTACACTGCCCATCTTGTGCAGCTCCATTGGATTAAAATGAAGATTAAAATCTAAGGAATGAAACTGTATTAAATAGCATAATATTCAATATATATGACATAAAAGAACCAAGGCCATCATTTGGGAGGGTGATACTGTATATCTCAGACATCAAACCAGATACACTATACTAAGCCAGGCACAACGGGAAACAAAGGGAAAAGACTAAGCACACATTCAGGCAGTTTTGAAATCCTCCTCACTCCCCTAAACTTAAGTGCTTTTTCATGGTAAAAGGTAAGAGGGCATTGGACAGGGGTGGGTGTTGTGTAGGTGGCCAGTAGGAGGAATGGAAAGGGAATTTATCACAAATAATTGTTCAAATTGAGAGTGAGGAACAGTTTTATGAAATGATTAATGCTGGTTTCCATTGGCAGGTTGTTTTGCTAAAATGTAATTTAGGAAATGTTCATGTCAAGCTTTCACCAGCTTCTTCTCTGCATAAAGACTTACAATATGTACTGTATGTGGCAGAATGAAGTTGTTCTTGTTAACAAAAAAATACTGCATTCCCCTTAAACAGTTTAGTGCAAACTAGCACTTACGCTCAATGAAAAAGCTAATATGAATCGCTTTTATTCGGTTAATTAAGAATCTGCTCATCAAGCCCTTTTAGAATAACTAATCAATTTAATGTTTGTAGTCTTGGCCCCAGGAGTCTGAACTAATAGTTTCTGCCAAGACTGCTCCTCATCAACGTTCATCCATATGTTGGTTGAGAAGTATATGGGGTATTTCTTGCATAGTAACCACTGTAATGGAGGAGGCAACAATAATTAATGCCAAGGCCTGGTATAATGTTTTTTTTTACTTTGTACATATTTAATTTTTGATATGCAATATACAGTATTGCCAGTATTGCAATAAGAGATGGACCTTGTGTTAGACTTTATTTGCATGTACTTATCCTGCATGTTTCAGTGCTTTCAGGCTTCTGCTGCAATGATACCATAAGGAAATATTAAGCTAAACATCTTAAAATAGAGATTTAGACTTTTTTTAGTAAAAGTATGATTCATTCTGCTGGACACTTCAGTATAGAGAGAAACAATGAGAGAGATGTTGTGAGGCCTGTGGCATACAAAAGTATTTACTTGCTTAAATCACCTTAAGGATATTTCAGCAATTTACTCAGCTGTTTAAGGTGTTTGTTTTATTCTGAGGATTTTACAAAATGACCATTAAAGAAAAATATAACACATTATGATTGTGATCACCTTGATAATTCATTATAATGAAAAAAAATACTTATTTAACATATGTGTTTTAAGAACCTGGTGACTTTTTTGTTATTTTATTAGTATCAGATGACTTTTATTTGGTATTTTGTTAGCTACTTTTCTATGATAAATAGAAAATAAATTCTATAAACTCACCCTTCGTAATCACACTTGGGATGATATGCATGTAGTTACTTAACATAATAAGACAGGACATGACACTAGTCCTAATTCATTCTGTAGTAACATTCATAAGAAATATTGCTTGAATTCTAATATGGTTTATGCAAAGAAAATGTCTAAAAAAATCCTACAAAACAATTTGTAATCCGAAATGCAGTGACCCATTTTATGGGTAATATTAACACATTTTCAAACAATTCATACTGTGATCTGGAAAATGTACAAAGTACTTTACACTTTCTTCTATCTTTCAAAATGTTTTGAACTTTTCATCATCATATAAAACTTAGTCCAGGACAGATATTACTGGATCCCAGAGAAAGTATGTGTACAGTACAAGTTCAAAGTGTTCAGGGAATTAATAAATGCAGAAAGGGAATTTTCCCTATGAAAACACTGTTAAAACACAGACTATTTCTCATTTCAGTAAATAAAATTTTAACCACACATCTGTGCCTGTAAATGTTTATGTATGCATCTGTTTACATTGAAGATATTTGTACGCATCTGGTAAAAAAGTGTGCATCTGCGTAATTAAACTTGTTGCACTGAGGAAGTAAATAATGTAGGTATGGCCAATACTAATGAAGAATTCATAAACTACCTGTGATTTTACAGCTCCCGCCTATCTCTAAATTATATTAAAAACATTACCATACAATAGAGATGTTTGGTCTTGTCTTTTCCTTTTTTTTTAATGGAACTCTTAATTACAAAATTGAATCATCTATGCATATGTCCACATTAATTAATATTTAAATAAAAGTTAAAATGGGCAAATTTCAGTACAATATGTACTTGCAGTGGATGACCTATGTTACTGTATATTCATATAACAGATGTTCTGTTATACAAGTTGAGAAAAGTATAATTGAGAATAACTACAGTTTAATAACTAATGTTTATTAATGTTGTGCTTGAAGTGTTACTGAGCACTGTATCATTAGTCTTAAAATACACAGACAGCTGAACACTAGGACAGTAGTTTTAATTGACATTTATATGTGGTAATGGTGACCTATGCCCACAGCTGTCTAGTACTGGTCTACAAAAAATAATGAAAAACCTAACCATCCTATAAACAATATTTGCTTGCACTTGAGTGAACATAAGTGTTCAGCATTGAATGTTCAAGCTGTAGATTGAGGAATCCTGTGTTGATAATAAAGTAGTCCTTAGAACACTTTCTAGTTATCAGATCTGAGTTACATTTTAAGGTTCTGTTTTATTTTGTAAAAATTGTTATTATTTAAACCTATGAGAGAACAGCCAGTGTACTATAGAAATCCTACAGTTATTTACAGTAAGATAAAATGAAAAAAAGATTAAGCGCATTATTTACATATTGTGACAAAGATAATAGAGATGTACTGTCTGTTGTCTGCTTAGCTGATACAGTGATATATCCATGACATGCACAGATGGGCTAAAGAGCCTGTTGACATCAGCAGAATTCCCTGTGTTCCTACAAAATGTACTGTGGTTATATATTAGTACTTTTTTAAATTGACTTTTATTTTAAAACAAGCAATGCATGAAAATTATTTCTTATAGAAAAAAGATTGGCTGATTATTAATACTGGGCACAGGTGCCACATATACTGTATTTTGCAAGTTACAACTTATTTAAATAAACAGGGTTCAATGTTTTCTTGCAGGAAGCTTTTCTTTACGGACTATGGAAACATCGCTAAAGTGGAGCGATGCAACATGGATGGCACAAACAGAACGGGGATAGTGGGTTATAAAACCGAACAGCCTACCGCCATCACTCTGGACTTGGTGAAGAAACTGGTATACTGGGCAGATGTTTATTTGGACTATATTGAGGTGGTAGATTATAATGGCAAAAACAGACATACTGTCATTCAAGGAAGGCAGGTGAGCATGAAGTAATTTACTACTACTATTACCTATATTCTGTGGAATATGAAAATATAATTCTAAATGCATAAAATAAACCAAAGAACTAATATTTTTGCATGAAAGCCTGTGACCTCTTTCTTCCACCCTTTGGAATGCACATATTCCTATTCCAGTCCCTTTGCAGATTTTTTCTACACTGAGTGACAGCTGCTACCTCTCAATAATAACAGGTGCTATAGGAACACCTGCTTATTGAAATTATAGATATACTGGAATAAAGCACTGTCTCTCTTTCTGTTGCTGAGAGCTTGTTTTAATGAAGTTAACAACCAAACAGATAAGAGGAATCCCAACGAACTGTCCTGCAATTCTTACTATGTGTTGTGGCAATGAAGAAACATCCTCTTCAAAAGTATTCACAAAAAGAGATCATATGGGAACAGAACAAGAACATTATTATTCAAAGCTTCAAGAACCTTTTCGCTGAGTTATTCCCCAAGTGATAAGGGAAAAGAGCATACAAATGGAAGTAACTCTCATTATATTTGCAGGTGTTCTTAAAGAAAAAATAATAATATATATATATTATCTGATATTAGTCTTTAGTGTTTTTGACTCATTACAGTATCAGGCAGACAGTAAAATGTTGCTAATTCTTTTCAAACCATAGTACAAGAATTAGTATGCATCAAATACTAAAACTAAGAGGTTCTCAAATGTATGTTAGTTTTATATTTCAGTTTATAGAGTTAATTTGCATATTTCAGAACCTCTGTGGTTTAGGCCGAGAAAAAGGATATAGAATTTGCAAACATTTTTGGGGGGATTTGCACTCAAGATGTACTGTATTCACTGAAGAATAAATTTGTTATCCTTTCATTAGAAAACAAAACACTGAAAAGCACAACTGCCCTCTAACTGGCAGCCTGTGCTTTTGAAACCAGCACCCACACAAACAGCAGGCCAGTGTAATCACCTGGCCCTGGGCAGCTGCCTGCTTCAGTCCAGCTGGTGCAGGCCTGATTACAGCAGTGGGGCTTTTCCTGTATGAAGTCATGTGATCTTAGTAGGGCCACTTGTGCTTAGGGACTGCTGTGTCTAGGAGTTACTATGCCCAGGTACTGCTAATACAGAAGTTTCTTATTGAAAGCCTGTCTTATGATTGTGATACCTTTCTTTAAACCAACGTGTCACCCCAAATATTTATAAATGGGTATCTTTTTCTGGACTTTTTGACATTTTTAACAGTGATCTTTGGCCAAAGTTCTCTTTAATATGTCTACCTGTCAGAAGATGGACATTTTACTGTTGTTTTCTGAATTTCTGCTTTTAGAGAGGCTTAATGAGTATTTGTGCAATTACTTGATTAAGCTTGCAAATTGAATTTGTAACTTAAAATTGTAATCAGATTTAAACGGAGAGTTATGGAGAAGGAGGAAGCCCAGTTCTGGCCAATAGGAGTGCAGCTCAAAGGTATAAATTGGGTCCTGAAGACAATTGTTTACCAGCATTTGTCACACTAACACCCCTCTCTCCTCTCCTCTCCTGCTCCAGCAGGCAGCGGCCTGTTGGTTTATAAGGGGTTCAGACTTCCTGTTTCATATGCCCAGGTGTTCCCTTATTTCTCACCGAGCAGATTAAAATGAAACATATCAACACATAACAGCTGGCTCAGGACAGCACATGGTGACACAGTAGGGGATTGAATGTGGAACCTTCCAACAAAGAGCCCTTTACTTTACTGGATTATTATTAATTTAGCCGACACTTTGATCCAAAGTGACTTACTGTACATCACCCAATTACACAGCTGGGTATCCTACTGCTGCGAGTCAATTACCTTAAGAAAGTTTTAACATTAGAAAGGTTACAAATGACAGGAAGCCATTTGGCCCATCAAACTCATTTGGTAGTTAGTGGTTAATTGATCCAAGGATCTCATTCAGCCGTTACTTGACGGAAACAAGGGTATCAGCTTCAACACCTTGAGTGTTAGTTCTATAGTCCCACAAATCTTTGGGTAAATATGTGCGTCTCAGTTTTAATTTGACTTCCATGTACAGTAGTTTCCAGTTGTGCTGGTTCGTGTTTTACTGTTCCTTCTGAAGAAGCCCACTAGGTTGACTTTGTCAGCGCCTTTGAGGAGTTTCAGTACTTTAATGTTGGGTCTCCTCATAATTGTCACTGTTCAGGACTATAAAGGTTCAGTTCCTTAGGTCTGTCAGTGTAAGCTTCCTCAAGCATACAAGAGCAGCTCCACACCTGTTATTTGTACTTGCAAGTTATTACAAGTGCAGATCCTAATCCACCACTCCACACTGTTGCTTCATATAAGTGGGGCTGGTTTGTGTTTTCTGAAGTTGGCATTTCACAGGTGTGTAAATATGTCATAATTGTATTACTTTTAATTTTAATTGATTTATTTTACCGTATTAATTCATTTTATTGTTTCTTTCAGGTGGCTTATCTGTATGGGTTAACACTTTTTGAGGATTTCTTGTATGCAACACGTTTGGAGCCCACTAAAGGAAATAAAGTGGACATTTTAAGGATAAACCGGTTCAATAGCACTGATGTCCAAACTCTAACCAGCATGGAAAACTCTAGAGTAATACATGTCTACCACAAGCTGACACAACCAGCAGGTAAAATACAAACACATAATGTACTGTTATATAAGAGGTTTAAGATTGCCTGCCTGAGATTATAATATAAATAATATAATAATATAAAATACTGGTACATGACTGAAAAACTGCTGGCACAAATGTGCCTGATCTTAGAGTGCTCACATGAAGTTCTGAAGGTCTGAGAGGCTCTTAAAATGTCCTGTTTTTCTCTGTGTGGTCTCTGCCTCAAGCAAAACCTTGGATTTTGATGGAAACAGAACAGCAAAGGTTTTCTGTGGCTGGTGCTGACCCACATTTTTCATTTTCACCTATGACAAAGATTATCAGCTGCCTGTCTAGAAAAGATCAAAGAAGAAAATAATTAGAAATGTTAAAGGAAGCCTCTCTTGGAATGGTATCTCTTAGCTGCAGAACCTATATAAAATTCTGATCACATAATAAAATGTTGATTCCTATTACTTCTAGAAAGCCAAAAATATGTTTTTATTAATAACCCAGATTTATACATTATTATTTTAAGAACTTCTCAGTAGGCATCAAGCAGAGCAAAGTCTCTCATTTATCCATAAAAAAGAAAGCGGAAACACCATTAGAAATTCACGGTACAAATAACATTTTCTGATGCAGGAACTTTAAACATAGTGCCAGTGTACTATCCCGCCGACTGTGTTTGATGCAGTTTGAGGAGGCTGTGTGTTTGGAGCTAAGGAAACGTCCTTGTTTTCTCTCTGTTGGTTGCAGTCAGGAGTCATGCTTGTGAGGTGAGCCCTTCTGGGAAGCCAGGCGGATGTTCACATATCTGCCTCCTTAGTGGCAGCTACAAATCCAGGACCTGCCGCTGCAGGACTGGCTTCGCCCTGGGAAGTGATGGCAAGTCGTGCAAAAGTCAGTCCATATTCCTGTTTTCTACCTCTAGAGCACAGAAACGTTTCCTGCCATATGTGTGTGTTATATACTGTGCTCCTTAATTCCTTGGCAAGTATACTGAATTTCAGAGTGTTAAGGATGGTACAGTTTACACTGTATACAATATACATGCTTACATACGCTAAATTTTACACAATCTTTTTTTTTTGCAGGAATTGAAACCATGCATATACTGTACCAGTGTCTAAACAATAATTACTAATATACGTTTTGACAAACATTTATTAAAAAATAAATCTGTTTTGCACTATCTCTTTTATTTAAAAATGTTTTAAGATATACAAGCTTTACCACAATAATGTCCAGTGAGGTTGTTTTGTAGTTTGTTATACTAGGGCTGGTATAATATGTTATTCAGTATAATATCATCTTTGATATAATCATATTGTTCTCTTTAGTCATGAAAGATGAAAGGTTTTTATTTAATTCTTCATTGTGACATTGGTTTTCTTCTAGGTGCTTGAGATATTATTCATAATCAGAATATTTAATGAATATAGTATTTTATTACTGAGTCCTGTTTTGTATTTATCACAAAATGTAAAATATTTCCTCATGACATTACACACTTTTCCTTGATTGTTGACATATATAAAAAAAAACGTTGATCAAAGACAAAAAGGATTGATGATTAATAAAAAAGACTTTTTAAATTTAACAGCAATGAAGATTCCAGTCTTGCCAAAGACATGAGTTATTTTTGCTTATATAAAGAATTTTCCTGAAAAGTCTGCCATCTCACATGATTGGGTTTGTAACCTAAATTTGTATTCAGATTTGTAAGGGAAGTTATGGAGAAGGAGAAACTCCAGTTCTGGCCAATAAGAGTGTTGTTCAAAGGTACTGTATAAACTGAAGCCTTAAGACCATTGTTTCCCACATTTGTCACACTAACACTACTCTCTCCTCTCCTGTACTTCATGAAAGTGTACATACAGAGTTATGAGATTTCTGTCAGTATTTATTTCACAAATCATAAGACACCCATCTTCAACTCATAACTTGGTTAGAGGAAACCGAGCTGCCCTTATGTAGGAAACTAAGGCTGTGGTCTTGGTTTCACTTTGACTAAATTGGTCTCCTGGGTGGCACTTTCAGAATAATGGACTTTGAGGAGGTTATTAGTGTTTGCTACAACAGATCCAAGTGTTTCTTTTCATATTCTTACTGTATGCTCTGGGACCCTGCAGGAGCAGTCTATCTGTGATTTATGTCTTTTAGTCTGGACAGTAGCAGCTTTCTGAGGCCCTGTGTAGGGCACTCTTCACTGTCAGATTTAATGAATGTTGCAGTCAATACAAACAACATCTCTTCCAGCTACTAATGAATTGTAAAATTAAATGTCTACAGCATAATAAATGCCCATTTTACTCTGGCTTCAACACATATATCCTCTGATCTGCCTTGTCTTGGAAACATGGACCATTTGGAACAAAAGAATGATTAATTAGATAGGGCCTAATCAGCGGAACTAATTCTTGTTTTAATTAAGGTAATGTAATTAGCTAGTATTCTTGCTTTAGATACATTTTGATTGCTGAAGAGTTTAATTTTCTGTGTTGAATAAAAAATGCTAATTATGCCAATTAATTAGATGATGACACTACGCAGTGTAAAGAAGATTAGTTTGTGCTGGTTTGTTTATTTTTGTAATCTTGTTCCTGCAGAACCCAAGAATGAGATGTTCCTTTTTTATGGAAAGGGGAGACCAGGCATTATTCGGGGAATGGGTCTGAATACCAAAGCTGGAGATGAGCACATGATTCAGATAGAGGATCTTGTTAATCCACGGGCTCTCGACTTCCATGCTGAAACAAATTACATTTACTTTGCTGACACAACCAGCTTTCTAATTGGAAGACAGAAGATCGATGGAACGGGACGAGAAACAATACTAAAAGATGGTGAGTATTTTGAGAACCTCAAAATACTCTTGATATTCTTAATTTGGATGATCCTCGAGGAGCATGAAAAAGAAAAATAATTCAATTAATTAACAAATATCATAACAAGAACAACAATACTATAACTACTACTATGCTTGCATTTCTATTGCATTTCTTATCTCAAAGGATTCCAAATTGTGTTAATTAATTCTTATACAGTATATTTGTTGTAACAGCTATACATGGAAATCATATATACTGTAATTCATTCTATATTTTTATATTTCAAACATTGGAATGTCCATAAAATAAATGTATCTTGTCTTATATCAATATAAGGGGTATAGATAATCTTTGATGTCTTGTGAAGGGTCCTTTGAATTGTACTGTAGATTTGAATTGCAAGCTTTTCTGAAACTGACTGACCTCTAATGTCTCAAGCATTTCTCTAAGCAGCAGTTACAGTACATGTATTTTTTTTTCTAAAGATTGCTGATATAAAGTAGTTTTCAGGCGTATCTTAAAGAACGGGCAGAAGAGACACTGATCTACTGCATGTCAGTGTGACTTGTGCAGAGATGATCAAAGCAGCTCAATTAATTTAATCTACTGTATTTACCTCTATATTCCTTTACAGACCTTGATAACGTGGAAGGGGTGTCAGTGGACTGGATTGGAAACAACCTGTATTGGACAAATGATGGCTATAGAAAAACCATCAGTGTTGCCCGACTGGAGAAGGCATCCCAGACCAGGAAAACTCTTTTAGAAGGAGACATGTCTCACCCCAGAGGCATTGTGGTAGACCCAGTAAATGGGTATGTACTCAAACCAATTTCTGACAGGGATGGAGACTGAATTATTTTTTCACAAAATTTGTGATAAACTAAGGATTATAAAAAATATCATAGGTTTGTGCACATATGCTAAAGTCAATAAAAAATATAATCTTTTTGATCTGAAATTAAATATAATGTAAATTGCTATTATATATGCATATAGCTTGAGCCAGTCAAACTCAGCAAAGAAATCAGTCTACCTTAAAGTCCATGGAGAAAAATTTCTAAGTAGCTGAATTTTATTGTCAATGAATTATATTGTAAAAATATATATTGAAAGTAAGCAAGAAAGGAAGCAATAAAGGTGAAACTAACATATTTGATTCTGTTGATGGTAATTTTCATGTGCTTAATCTTACCTGAGACATGTTCAGAACTGGAAAGAACTCTGATTATACATATTATATATAAGATAGGCAGAACATTCTGCTTCAATCCTTTGGGTTTCCATGGAATCTTAATACTTAGATAATTTAAAATGATCCCTTTTTCATCATTATTTCTCTGGATGAAAGGTGATACAAAAACAAAATCTCTGCACTGAACAATAAGGAAAATATTTTCACAGTCCCTTACCTGCATGTGTTTCATAAATAAAATCAGTAAAGTAAAAAGAAAATATTAAATGGCATATTTTACTTTTGTTCCAGCTGTTGTCAAACTTTGTTCATCATAACCACATCTCAACAGTTGTGATGTCATGGGGGTAGTGGCAACCAATGTGGGCATGGACAGGCATGTCCACCACTCTGGACACGAGCCTGTTGGGGAATTTTTTCACAGTCCTCTTTTATCACTGTCTCAGTGTATACTGTTTTAATATACACTCCTACGAGAGTAGATCTGACCATGGCCCCCTCATGGGGGCAACCCTGACAGGTGGTGCCGCTTATTTAGGTATCTTGACTCTCGGCTTACAGACTCTTGAGCAGAGTCTCTGTCTCATGCATGTTATCCTTTCAAATCTCCTCCGAGATTGTTAACGGAGGTGTATCACATTGCCGATCCCTTAGTTCACGGTTTCCTGGGCTCGACAAACTTCATCTTCCATTCGTGCCCTAAAAGCCAAACCCTTCCACGAAGATGTCTCTGGGTCCCTCATATCGTTGAGCACTTCCTTCACTGACTCCAGGTTTTAAAGGATCCACTCTCCGATGATCCTAGAACCCTCTCACTCAACTGGAGCCTCCTGCTTCCTGATGAGACACACGGACCTTCCTGCCCCTCCTGTCCAGGACAGCTTCTTGTCCTCTCATGACCAGCCAGCCTCAGACCCACACCTCCAGCTGCTGACGCCATCCTCCTGATGACACCAGACTGGGTCTCACACTCACTCAGTCTCCAGTACCTCACTCGTGCACGGAGACCTTCTATGCTAACAAATTGAGCCTCTTCCGCACGTCACTCCATGCTGAGACTCAACACACTTTTCCTTAATTAAAATCCACAGACCATACACATGGCCTAGCTGGCTCTCCACTCTCGTGCCCCAGTTTGTGTACACTTCTGCAGCTACTGGAAAATCTCCTCCTGTGCCCAGACCCTGCCGCAGACTCACTCACACAGCTGCTGGCGTACCTTACACCCGTGCCACCACTGCGCCTCAACACCCTGTGCAGCATCCGTGATGCCACCGCATGCTCACCACCAGAGGTCTGCTAATGGGATCCCACTCTCTCCCCCAATACCTTATATGACCAGGGGGAGGGTCCCTGTACTGCTCCAAACATGATGATCATGCTCATACGGACACTAACTCGCCAAACTTACAAGCTCTGTCCCAGACAGCCCTGTTCTCACATCAAAACCGGCTGCTGCCCCCTTAAGCTCTGATTCTCCCGAGGTTCCTCTTTCATGTAAGGGTCCATTTCTCCCATCAGTCTCAGTCTTCTCTGAGACCGATGCTCTTCTCTGTCCCTTCCAGGTTTAAGGCTCCACACTATCCCCGGATCCCTCCAGAAGTGCCGCTTTCATTACTCTCCCCTCGTTAGGGTCCGTTGGCGTTCTCTCTCTCACCCGTGGGGCAGACACGCTCTCCTAACTGCACCTCACACCTGCTCCTGTTCAGCTGCGCCCCTGGCTCTCTCGCTGACGAGCCCCTGGATGTGATCTCCCACGTCTCTCCTGCAGCAGCTCAGGATTGAGTCCTGCTTCACCTCTTTTCGAGGGAAATTAGGAGCCCGGTTCTTAAAGCAGTCCCACAGCTGAGTCTGATTAACCCTAGAAAAGCGCTCAGAAGTGGTTGCCAAGGCAATGTATCTCACTCTCACTGAGGGCTCTGCTGCTTAAAGGCACCACTCCCGGGATTATCATTATACTGTATTTTTAGTTAATGATAACATCAGAATGCTACTACAACCAACAGGCATGATGGTAGATCTTAAGATAATAATAAAAATGGGCTCTGTTGAATCATTCTGAAGTAATATTCCAGCTTCCACAGACCATCTCCAGGCAGAAGATTATGCCTGTGGAGAAAAAAAAACTGGTACACATACTGTTCTGTACAGTAAATACTTTTATCCTGTCCTGTGTGTTTAAAAAAATAGCCTCAGGTAAAATATTTAACTTTCTGTGCAACGTTTTGTGAGCTGTGGAGTCTACTGTGGTGTGCTATTTGAAATGTCCAGATCTAAAATTCAATTTTATTTTAATTTACCAGCTTCAGTATAATGTAAATAACCACACACATCTGATACTGATATACTGATATAGATACTGATATACAAAATCAACCCCAAACTAAAAAGAAGACAGACCCACTTTCATTACAAAAAAGCAGAGTGGAGGGAACATGATGAACTCTTTAACACAAAAATCAGACTAAACCAACCAGAAAAAACACTACTATACCAAAGTTTTTTTTTACCAAGAGCATCTTGTCCCAGGAAAGGAAATCAACAAAAGAAATGTTCTCACATTTATGTCTGCATACTGTAGGCTGTACAAAATAATCAAAGAGCAGACTATAGGATGGAAGCTCAGTGTGCTCAACCTGTCATCACTAGAGTGCACAGCTCAGTTTCACCCAGGCTGGCTGTCCACATCACCCACTGACACAGGGAAGAGCAGGCTGCCAGGGCAAGACACTGTGTGCTAGCACAACACACAGGGAGGACGTATAACTGATCAAAGGCAAACAGAATTTGCTAAAATAATGACATTGACATTGACACAATATCTACAACTGATATAATGCGCCATTGAAACAAGCAGGGTCTAAGAATGCAAAGAATTTGCACATGAGAGTAAAGTAAGCATGAGAAGTTCTCCATTTGTCTGTTTCACAGGAACAACAGCTCCCTGTTGCTACTGTGTGCTTCCTTACTGTTCCCTGAGGTGGACTGTCCTTCATTCCTTCACTCTCATGTCCTGCTTCCTCTCGTTCCCTGACTTTGGCTGATGACAGGAGGTTCTGTCCCTTTGTGCTGCAGCCACATCCTCCAGCATCAGGACAGCAAGAGGCTGTAATTCTGCTCCTGCTTTGCCATTACTGTTTACCTCTTTCCTGGGTCTTCTGGCGGGAGAGGATTGTGGGAATTAGAGTTTCTCTCTGCTTGCTGTGCAAACCAACAGAGCCGTGGCTACCATCTAAAACTCTCCCTCTCCCCATCTAAAACTCTCCCTACCTAACCAACCCTGTGTTTCAGAGATGTGTTTGTGTAGGGGTGTGTTAGCAATGTCCCCGGTACTGCTTTGGTATAAATTATTACAGCATTACCCTCCCAGGCATTTTGGATGCTCTGTAGGCAAAATTGCAGAAAAGATCCATATGCACTATTAACGATGGTTTTCATTATGTTATACACAGAGGATCCAGTTTATTGATTCACACAAAAGATATGTAGTTATGTTTCTTTCAAAGATCAATATAATAGACCACATTTCTCACTGATGAAGTTGGTTTAAACTCTCACATGGGCTAACATATGGATTTATCTTTTATCTGTTATGAAGGGCCATTGTATATATTAATACAAAAAATAGCCTTTAGTTTGAATAATGGGTAACATACTTCATTGCCCTACAGTATAAAGACACATATTTATTTACCAAATAAAAACATATACAGTCGATGTTGTATACAAACACCATTTTTTATTTTTACACTTGTAAATGCTTCTATGAATTTTCATTCTATAAGACATAATATAAATATTCAAATTCTGCATATATTTCTATATAAATATACAATAAGGTGATATGATATCACATACATTCTAGTTTCAAAAAGACATTAAGATCATTAAGAGTATTCTGGGTTCCATATTTGAAGTGCTGGCTATGGTGAAGTTGCCAAAGGGGTGATGCGATTAGATGTCTATACCTGAGAGATCTGGGAGGAAGATACAATTGAGTATAAGCAGGGCCTGGTGGCTTGGAGTTTTCCATCTAACATAAAGAGCTCTGATACTTTACCTCCTGTCTTGTAGTGCAGAAAATGAACATGACACGTGATTCAGTGATCTCATATACTGTACAGCAGTGTGTTGTTCTTATCTCTTCCAGGAGTTTTTATGGATGTCAGGAGTTGGTTAATTATAGGCTATTCCATACAGATGGTCATCAGGAGAGAAAAGTTGGAGATGGACTAAAATTGAATTTCAATTTTAATTAAGTGTACTTTCAGGAAATTATCAAGATAATACTTGTAGACCTCTATGTGTCACATTGTAACATTCAGTACACGAATTGCACTTTAATAGATTCTTAGAAAAGCAGTTATAAATTAGCAAACTCTCAATGTACAGTACTGTATGTGTCATGATATTGTAATTTTGCTTGTAAGGGTGTCTGTTTTGTGATGTTTCACTAGTTCACAAATTGTGAGGAGGACATGCTGCATACTGTAGCTGCACTTATTGGGAAAACTAATCAGTTGAAACCAGGTAATAGAAGACATCAGCAAGCAATTCAGTTATATGGTACAACCTATGAGGGAGAATGGGAATTCCATCAACATAATCCTTATGTAATGGGGGTTGGATTCATAACAAGGATTTAGAGCAAAGAAACAGTGTAATCACAGTGCATTGATTTATTGTCATGTTTCACTTACTTTCACAATAATCTATTTTTGCGCGTAAATTTTGATCCCATTATAAAATACCAAAAAAGTTTATTTGCTCTACATCTAGCCTTCTGGGTTATTGGCTGTATTGGAAATGTATATAGGTAGTAGATAATTTGTATCTCAATACAAAATTAATGTTGGCAATAATGAACTGTGTTTGATGGCCTGAGGCCAATCTCATTATCACTTTCAGTGGGTGTGAAAAAAATCTATGAATCCAGTAGAACAAAATGCAGCTCACAGGTTCCTTGTAGATCAAAGGGCTATGTTCATGCTACATGGTAGAATTCATGAGCTGATAATACGTCATCTTTGCGTGTTTTCCATACATGACCTTTCTTAATTTTTTATGTTCAACATGACGTTTAAAGCATAAAAGATTGTTTCTGTACATTCTGGACAAAAGTAAACATCATTGAAGATACTTTCTCACTAGCTGAGGAGTTATTTTTTTACAAAATATCCTGAAACAAATCAATTTTAAATCATTCAACCTTGTGTACAGCATATAATCGCACTTATCTTTTTTAGTCATTTGTAAACTATAGTTCAAGCTGTTCAGTTTGTTCTTTTTGTAGAAGAGCATATGTGTTGTTAAGCAAACGGAAATCACTACTACTTCACAGTACTACTTCACAGTTGCCCAAAGTAAAACATTTTCTCACAGAGGCAATCATATTCACTCTATTTTCTTCATTTCAGGTTAATAGACATTGAAAGCAAGTCTGTTTTTTGTTAGAATTTTATCCATAACATTTTGGGGTGAGAAAGTGAGTAGACATGGACAAAACTGTGTGTTTGTAATAAGAAAGATGGCATAGAAGAAAATATGGAGATGGAATTACTTTACTCTGTGCAATGCAGGCCATATACTGTGATGTAGATTCGACAGCAGTAAAAGACAGAATCTTAACAGTCCTCCACATGGTGGTATTTGTAAATGTCTGGTTACTTTTTGTAGTCCCCATGTGAGAAAAAAAAACACCCAAGCACAATTTAAAAACATGAAAAATGTTAAGAGTTAAAACAAATATTTGTTTGCAAATTGCTGTTCTATTGAACTTGGTAAGAATATGTGTTCTTAAAATGTGACAAAAAATTGTTTAAACCATTAGCATTTCATTATTTTTAGTACCACTCAGATTATATTTGGAAACGCAAAGAAACATTTAAAATTAAAATATGGTATAAAAAATACAAGATTGTACTCCAGCCACCTACTAAGTTTTAGTGTCTTATATCACATTGTGGAAGGCTGATCTTTGAGAAAACTGTTTTATCAGATGACCTACAGTACCACCAGAGCCCATTTAAAGGGTCTTTTATCTGTAAATAGTCTCACTGGGTGGTAATTGTTAATTAATTAGATGGTTAGTGAAGGGTTTAGAAGTTACATTTTCACATTGGGGTCAATTAGTAATGTTTGGTACGGTATATAAAGAACTCACAGAATTAGTTGTGGTTGGTTTGCTTTAGTAGCAGTGTGATTGTGTCTCTGTTGAGATCTTCATGAATAAAGTCTCTTAAGATGCACTTCCTGAGTAATGGTGAGTTTGAAATATGCTGAAATGCCTTGAGCCATCTAATGTAAGCTGGTGCTTAAATGTGTGATTTATTAATGGGTTTCTAAAAACTCCTCAGTCATGAATACATCAGGATATGATTAAGTTACTCAAATATGTATTCTGTTAATGTTTATGGGTTTTCCAATACACGGGCATAACCAAAAATTCAGGCATTATTTGGAAGCTTATCAAAGGAGGGTTAGCTTCTGTGGTCAGAGTTTCTAAGAACCTGTAATGGATGAAGACTAATATGAAGTCAGTTCAGGTGTATACTGTATATCTTGATTGTATGCAGCCATACTGCTTGTTAGACACCATGCAAAAAACAACTCTATCAAACTGTTTTGTTGCCATAGTTGAGGGACATTTAGTATCTGGTCTAATAATACTTTCAAATTTCAAGAGATGGCAGTAGATTTTTTTGCTAGTTATATACGGTAGATTTTACCTTCCACCCCCAACACCATAGATGGTATATGTCAGTGTGAGTTGACTAATATAGAAAGCAAAGAAATAACCCACAACATACTGTACTTGTTCCTCAGCCAGACAACACGAATGCACCAGCTCATCACTGTATCACAGGTGCACATCAGGTGTTAACAAATCGTCACCATGGTTGAGTATTTCCCACATGGCTATGGTGAAGTTGCCAAAGGGGTGATGCGATTAGATGTCTATACCTGAGAGATCTGGGAGGAAGATACAATTGAGTATAAGCAGGGCCTGGTGGCTTGGAGTTTTCCATCTAACATAAAGAGCTCTGATACTTTACCTCCTGTCTTGTAGTGCAGAAAATGAACATGACACGTGATTCAGTGATCTCATATACTGTACAGCAGTGTGTTGTTCTTATCTCTTCCAGGAGTTTTTATGGATGTCAGGAGTTGGTTAATTATAGGCTATTCCATACAGATGGTCATCAGGAGAGAAAAGTTGGAGATGGACTAAAATTGAATTTCAATTTTAATTAAGTGTACTTTCAGGAAATTATCAAGATAATACTTGTAATACTTGGTTTGCTTTAGTAGCAGTGTGATTGTGTCTCTGTTGAGATCTTCATGAATAAAGTCTCTTAAGATGCACTTCCTGAGTAATGGTGAGTTTGAAATATGCTGAAATGCCTTGAGCCATCTAATGTAAGCTGGTGCTTAAATGTGTGATTTATTAATGGGTTTCTAAAAACTCCTCAGTCATGAATACATCAGGATATGATTAAGTTACTCAAATATGTATTCTGTTAATGTTTATGGGTTTTCCAATACACGGGCATAACCAAAAATTCAGGCATTATTTGGAAGCTTATCAAAGGAGGGTTAGCTTCTGTGGTCAGAGTTTCTAAGAACCTGTAATGGATGAAGACTAATATGAAGTCAGTTCAGGTGTATACTGTATATCTTGATTGTATGCAGCCATACTGCTTGTTAGACACCATGCAAAAAACAACTCTATCAAACTGTTTTGTTGCCATAGTTGAGGGACATTTAGTATCTGGTCTAATAATACTTTCAAATTTCAAGAGATGGCAGTAGATTTTTTTGCTAGTTATATACGGTAGATTTTACCTTCCACCCCCAACACCATAGATGGTATATGTCAGTGTGAGTTGACTAATATAGAAAGCAAAGAAATAACCCACAACATACTGTACTTGTTCCTCAGCCAGACAACACGAATGCACCAGCTCATCACTGTATCACAGGTGCACATCAGGTGTTAACAAATCGTCACCATGGTTGAGTATTTCCCACATGACAGTGCATTTCCACAGGGGATAGAAAAAAGGCTTTTGTTTCTTTCAAAGCAAGCAATCCGCAAATTTCTTCCATGCCCTGCAAGGCACCTCAAGACTTGTCCTTATTAGAACACTCCTGGGATGCCTTGGGGTAGCTATGTGTACTGTTGCCAGAAAAACTCCTATCACAAAAGACCAGCTGGCCACAAAAATATGTAGGATAAGGGCTGGCGTTCAATCAAAACATTTTTACAGGAACTGCCTACTCCCTGTGTTCAAGTCTCCCTGTTTATCAGATTTTTTGATATCTGTTGTGGACAGCCAATTACAGTTTATCTGATAACCATGGTATGCTCTTGACAAGTTACAGAGCAAAAGTACTTATGTGGTACATGTACATTAATAACAGTGATTGTTGTCTGAATAGATAAACAGGCTCAACTTGAGTATAAAAATGGATCATTATGGTTTGAAGTTACTCAGTTTGTACACTTTCTGTCATTATTCATTATGCTGTGCATGCATAATATTGACTTATTAAAACAGCTGCCCTGGAATGTTTCTAGTGTTCCATGGAGGCTTCAACGCCTCAGAGCAAGGGAAATCTTAAAATAGCTACCCCTTTCCTCAGTTCTTACATCTTTTATCTTTTTATAAATAAAATAAGGATACTGATATACAGGCAAACAAAATAAGTTTTTATGTCTCTTTTAATATTGCTTTGGCTATAAGGAAGCAATATTTGTCTTTTTTTAATCTAAGGGGTTGGTTTGAAGTCCACAACACCAAGGTTGTATTTACCTTTGCTCATTTAACCTGTCCACCCTGGAAATGAGGATGTGAAATTTGCACTAGCCAGACCTTTAGTCATTGAGAAAACAGTTATTTTCTTCTGTTAAATAAATCTAATGGTGGAATTGTGATTATTTAATGAGTTTGCTTCCCTTTCTTTTTTTTAAATGCAATGCTTTCTATTTGTCTCTTGCAGTTGGATGTACTGGACTGACTGGGAAGAAGATGAGGTTAATGACAGTATTGGGAGGATTGAGAAGGCATGGATGGATGGCTCCAATCGACAAATATTTGTGACTTCAAACATGCTTTGGCCAAATGGTTTAACTCTTGATTATGGAACCAATACAATGTACTGGTGTGATGCCTACTATGATCACATTGAGAAAATCTTCCTCAATGGCACAGGCAGAATGGTAAAATACATTTACATAGCTGAGAGAGAATCACTCTTAATGACAATTAAGATTGCTTTCTTTCTTCTATTAGTGCTTGTTGACCTATGCACTATAAATCTGAGACTAACTTGTTCAGGGCAGCAAAGCTAATTCCAGAGTCAATGATTCAATACTAGCACACACTTAATAGAGATCATTTTTACATCTCTAATAAAGGAAAAACACATTTCTAAAATTATAATGGCAACATTGTTAAAATAAAGAAAAATGAAGCTCACTGTGTATGTCTGTCTTGTCAGAGTAAGGTCAGAAAACATCATTATAAGGAACATTCTTAAGATTATTCTACTTCAGAATAAGTAATTGACACTAGAAAATCATAGCACACATATATTGATTGTTGCCTTAATAAGCATTGTATGGATTAGTTTGGTTAGATTCTGTCATGGTTAAATGAGCTGGGGATTGTCTAGATTCCTCACACGTTTGCATAGAGTCCTGATGTTTCAAGATATTTGTATCTTCTCTCGATGGAGGTTTGTAATCTTTTTTTATAGCTACCTTTTTTTGTCTGTTAATAGGTGGTGTACAATGGGAAAGAATTAAACCATCCATTTGGGATTTCTCATTATCAGAATTACATTTTTTGGACTGACTACATGAATGGTTCTGTTTTCCAATTAAACTTGCTGTCTGGAAATGTTACTCTTCTGAGAAGTGAAAAGCCTCCACTCTTTGGACTTCAGGTTTATGACGCTCAAAGTCAAAAAGGTAAAACTGACATTTATTACAGAAAAAGTGTTTGGTTACAGACATGTGGAAGCAGAAACGGATGCAAATTAAAAGCCATAAAGTTTATTGTGTTCAGGAGGTATACAGTATAGGAGTTGTAAAAGGCAAAAAGTTCAGAATGCAGTTTCAAAATAAAGTGCACTACACGCACACCTCAACCTTAAAAAAATCATGCTGCAAGCACTTTCCTTTTTCTTTTCTGGTGGTTATGTAATGCGTCAGCCTGCAATCTAAACCACAAAAAGTGCATTGCTTTACTGCAATTTCTCTTTGAAATTATTGATTTTTGCACACACTGCACAATACCTGAGTTCTGTAGTTATAAGATAATTGCCCCCATAGTTAAGGGCCTCTTGAAGCCAGGGCCTCTTGTAGTACTTGTACAGTAAGTGCCAAGTTGCTGTAGTTACTCCTATTTATAAATAAGTATGAATGCAGGGGAATAAAGGTGGCATGGTGACGCAGTGGTTAGCCTTACTGCATCGCAGTGCTGGTTCCCAGGGTTCAATTCCAGACCTGGGGTGTTGTCTTTGTGTTTTCCCCATGTTCAAGTATTTTTTCTCTGGGTAGAGGGGTTTCCTCCCACAGTCCAAAGATATACTGTACTGGGGAGTTATTTGGCTTCTTGGAAAACTAGCCCTGGTGTGCGTGTCTGTGTGTGTGAGCCCTGCGATGGACCGGTGTCCTTTCTAGGGTGTACCCTGCCTCAGGCTTGTTGCTTGTCAGGATAGGTACCTGCTCCTCATGACACTGTATTAAACAAAGTGGTTATAAAACAGATGGATGAATGGAGGCAGTCACATTTGTAATTCTTAAATAGCAATATCTACTGTAGGATACCATATTTCTGTGTTTTTCACCTGCATAATGTTTTACAAAATGTTATCTAGGTTATAGTTTTTCTAGATTTGTAATGGAGGATTTAGTACTCTGCCTTTCAGTAGAGAAGCTCTAGATTAAAGAATGTTTAATTTGAAAGGCTGTGAATAAAGGTATTTTTTCTAGTTACAGTGCATATTGTACAACAGACCATCTATGAAAGAAATGATGATAACATTCTAATACTGTATAAAGTCAAGTTCCATGCTGACTATCTACATTTACTTAAATTGAATGACAACCTTGTTCTAAAAAAGACATTGAGACAGTCGCAGGCTAATGTGATGGCTGAGAGGAAGTTTCAGCTGCTCATTAATACCAGTCTAATTATATACAGTCACGTCCACAGACCTACTGTTCATCAGTGATCTAACTCTTTAGGCAGTTATGCTTTAGAAGAGGCTTAGTGTTACACTTTACAAGTTGCACTCTGTTTGTTATCAAACTGTATATTGAACCAGTTACTTACAAGCAAATCTCAAATTGGTTCCCATGTGTGCAGGAAGCTCCTGAATCATGCACATTGAAAACAACTCCCAAACAAAATTTCTTTCTGTCTCAGTTTGAGAATTTAAACATTGTGATTCTTGCTTGCTTGGTCAATTAATAAATTGGCTTACTGGACAGATACTCTATGTGGCACACAAAGCCTCAGAGGAAAGCTGTTCTTATGCAGTTTGTGTTAGTGGTACTTCACTTTTGTTAACTGTTTATTAGCTTGCCATTCGGTGCATTGTTCAAAACTTTCTACATTTTTTTAATTTAATTGAACACACTCCTTAATATTGCAAAGAAAATTCACTGTTATTAAGGGCCTGTACATTAATTTACATCTGTACTGCACCCCCAGCCCTCTGTTCTTTAACAATGTAATTCTGTTCTGGGCATAAAGTGAAACATTGCAGTGAAAAGAAGATGTGCTTTATTATACTGTAATATAAGTGTTTGCACACTGTCATTGCAAACATTTTAATAGAACCACAGCATTGTCATTTGTGGCTTCAAGAAAAGAGTTTATTATCCAAATAAGGATTTTATGTTCTAAGAACATCCTCTTGTTAATAATGTTGTCTTGTCATATTTGTCTGTTTTCATATTCACCATTAAGAAAGTAACCAGATTATCTAAAGCCAGCCACTATTAAAAGAAAAATGCAGGCATTGTGCTAACCATTTATTATTTCATACTGGGAGTTACTTAAATTGGGTGGTTAGACCAAGAAGCATAATAACATTCATTTATCTTGCAGTGTAATTCCTTTTTGAATACAGAAATAGCACACATGAGAGATATGGCCTGGAAGTTAAAAATGCATTGGGGTTTATCCTGTAATCCCATAAGCAGTCATAAAATGCTGTTTATGCTTATAACTATCCAGATGTGAAGGAGTAATGGAAGCAACAGTGATCAAAGTCTTTGACACACATAAGCACCTGTCAGACTACACAGGAGGGGGTCGCTACACACTGGGAGTCCAAGCACTATAACAAATTGGACAGTAAATATGTGGATGATGTTTTTTTTATTTATTTAGCACTCCACATTGTATAAATATTCAAAATCCCTATCTGATTTTCCTATTTGTTCATTCTTTTAATCATTTTCTTGTGAACTGTTGCCTGTGGTACGTGCATTGATTCAGCTAGTGTTTCACTTTTTACAGTCAGCTCAAACATTCCTGATTAATTGGTGTACTTTCATTTCACCATTAAGAGAATTCAAACTTTGAACATTATAACTGATATTTTTACAGTGCTTTCATGCATTTTACTTTTATGTTAAGTGAAAGCAGTTTCTGCTTGTTGTAAAAATGTCTATGACAACAAATAAAGGTTAATTTCAGATTTAAAAAAGTAGAAATAAAGAAATGTTTTTGTCGTTGAGTCAACATCTGAAGAAGGCTCAACAACAGAAACATTTTGTCTTTCTACTGTACTTCTTCCTCTACCTTACACACGGATGCAGCTCTCCATTCATTTAGAAGGTTGAGAAAAGAGGGGTTTAAAATGAATTCTCAGGCTGTCACAGGATTCTGTCTTTCCTATTGGTGAGATTAATTAGACCTCTTCCATTTTTATTATTGCTGATTTGCTTCATGTGACTCAGCTTAATGGATTATGCCAAAGCTATTTGATTGTCCATATATTAAAAGTACTGTATATTTTGTCAAGTTTGAAATAGGAATAATGCCCAAATAAAGTTTAAGAATAAAGTTCTTAAAACCTTTTCCAATAAATCTTTTGACATTTTATTTTTAAATTGCCATTAATGCATCTGTCTTCGTAACCTCCTGTTGGGAGAGTAAAAATTAACCCTCCTAGGGGAGGTTAAAATAAAAATGGTTTTGCAATTCAACTACTTAATTTAAATGTTCTGTATTGCAAGTCATTCTTGGGAAAAGGCTGCTGATTAGTCACTGATATTCTTATAAAAAGAAGAAAAGTAAGAAATTTGTACAAAGAAGCAAATAATATGTTCTTTTTCTGTTATTATTCCTAATTTTTTCTTCATATTATAAAATATGAATTAGGTTTGAATTTGTAGTATCTGCAACAAAAACCATCCAGCAGTGTCAAGCCACTCATTCTAGATGCTGAGTTTGCCTGTGGATGTGAGTGCTGTCCTGGTATCTTGAAAACACGATTGACTTTGTGAGGATCTTGTTTGCCTGTTAGGATTCTTAAATCATTATTCTATTATTAAAAGTATTAATTGCTGGATTACTTTTAGAACCACAGCAGTGTTTGCACTATTTACACAGATACATATGGATCACTCATACTGTATACAATTTTAAATTTCCACTGAAATGAAAAACAGAAATATTTTTGCTTTGCAGATCAAGTGTTTACCTACTAATGTGCATGATAACTCTCTGCGTTTTTGTTATGCAGGGGACAATGCTTGCCGTGTTAACTATGGAGGATGCAGCACCCTGTGTCTGGCTATTCCTGGCGGTAGAGTCTGCGCTTGTGCTGACAACCAGCACCTGGAGAGAAACAATGTCACCTGCTCAAGTAGGCCTGATATACTGTACAATCTTGTTTGGGAGATGTTTCCTTGTGGACAGATAATACTGTAAATCAGAATCTGAGTCAGGGTAAAGTGATTAGGAAGTATTATTTATTTGGAAGTGACCACATTTTAATCTGCAGTGCCATCATATAATTGTAACAAAAATTAAATCTCAGGACTATCCATCTTCTTTCGCTCTGTGACTTGGATTCAACTTTTGAGTGACAAAGGGGCAGTGTTTTATGAAGTTGGGATACCCTGGCCAACAAGAGCACCCAATCTTGCTACAGCTTAACCAATTGTGCACTGCTGGGAGCATGTTGAATTCAAATAAGAAATTATTTTGTGGTAGAGTGAATCCGATGGAAAGGACTACTACAGAACGCAAATCACTAGTTGTTTTAGTAGCAGTTCTAGCAGCTGGCCTGTACTGTATGTATAAAGATGTATAGCTGATGTTATCAAGTTTCCTTGTAATTTTATATTTTCAGTTTTGTAAAAGGTTAATATGAAGGCAAGAAAATGTGTAGAACAAAAGGCCTATCTGTAACACACTTCATACACTGTTCCAGTTTGTTATACTTTATTTTTATGTCAATAAACACTGTGTAAGTGATGATTTCATGTAATAGATATGTTGGCAACACTGTGTCCAGGGCAAAATTGCCTCAGAGAGAGCTCATTCAAAATGTTTCTCTTTGCCTGTGTACTATAACTACTTCACATAAAGCACTGTACAAAGTTCTGGACGGACAAGCTGCAAAGCTAGTGACCTGAAAAAAGAGAGAAATGCCAATGTTTGGTTTCAGCTGAATTACAATTTAAAGTGAGCTTTGAAATGTGAAAATATGCAAATACTGTATAAGAGGAGCATCAAAAGATATCATCCCAAAGTACATCTGATCTTGGCTACGATTACAAAAATCCCTAGTGTCTTCGTCTGTATTAAAATGTGTTTTGTTCATGGAATGTTAAACCAAACACATCATACAGTATTTCTCCCCAGTGAATGTGAGCTGTAACGAAATGGTGTTACAAAAGTGATAAATAAAAATTTGCAAATGCTCTTACTGCAACATATGTATGTGTACACTGTACACTGAATACGCACTCTCATTCACAATTATTCTTGGCCTATTATTGATATGTTACAAAGCATAATTTCTCATTTTTCAAATGAGGAAAGGAAAAATGAAAGCAATAAAAGTAACCTAATTGCCAATTAATTCAATTGCACAGTAACCCATGATTGAGACCAGAGATTTCCACATGCTTCATACGACAAATTGTTTCAAACTCCATAGTCATTTTTTATGGATGGCATTTTGTGAATCTGAGCACTTTGGTATTAACAGCCACTAAAAATTTATATTTCAAAGATTATTCTTTTTTTGAAGTGACTTCAGGGGACCTGGTGCCTCAGCTGTGTAAAAGTGATGAATTTCAATGTCAAAACAAGAGATGTATTCATGCCAGCTGGAAGTGCGATGGAGATGATGACTGCTTGGATAGCAGTGATGAAGACATGGCCACTTGCTGTATGTATTTCATTTAAGTTCTGTATGTCTTCAAAATGAATGCAAAATAATTCTGTTTCAATACCATCAATTCACCTTTCCTGGAGTATTCCAAGGCATTAACTGCACTTTATAAATGGTTTCTTACAATGAGCAGGCTTTAATAATCTTTAAATAGGTAAGAACTTCAGTCCGCAAAATGACTGTGAAAAATCAATTTGCCTCCTTGATATTATACACAAAGTGCACATTTTTTTTCAGAATTATTTTTTACATTAAATTTAATTCTCATAGGATACAGAACACATTGATACTATATGTAAGCTATTACCAATACCATTAAAGTACCACTTGGACATTATTGGTATTTTTGGGGACAACCATTAATGTTTTTGGCTAAAATACACCTTGGCCAGGCTGGAAAAATAGAATGTACAGCAGGACTGCATACTTCCAATTCATGGCTTGGGCACAGATCACTGCAAGCCACCGCAGTGTAGGACTTCACCTCCAGCTGCTTTGTCATTGTAGCTCTTTCATCCCGCACTACTGCCATACAATCCAGCCTTTGAAGACACAAGCTATTTCATGCGCTCTGCTTTTAGGATTTCACTTCCTTTGAAGACTTACATGGCATTATATAGTCTGTTACACATATATAAGCCATAATGATACTGCAAGTATAATACCATATATATTCACAGAATATGCATCACGTTATAAGTCCCACATGGAGGAAGGTTATTTAAAAAAATATTTTCTACAGATTGTTAAACAAAATTACAATTACAAAAGTTGCAAACAAAATTAATACTAAGGATGATGGGATACAGTAAGATGTTTTTTGTTATATAAAATTCTTAATGTTGCAGAATGCTGAATAAATGTCTAATGATATGATTAGTCTTCCTTTATAATTTGTCCCACTCATTAAACCTGGCTTTGATTAGCTGAAATAAATAATAGTCAATGAAAGTGACTGGAGTTATTCAAGGTACTGGAATACCCATTGGAATGAATGGGTCTAGTCTTTTCTTTTGAAAGCATTCAGTATGTTAAAGTTTGAACCACTTATTTGAGCTTAGTTAAATTAAAGAGATGTTTCAATGCTAAGGAAAAAGATCTTAATGGAATTGCTGAAACTAGTGGAACAGTGCATACTGTATCTGTGGAATCCATCCCACCTGTTCTGTCCTCCTGAGTGCCCCAGGTGTTTTCAGGGAGTCATCCAGCACCATAGAAAATGGGAATGTCACAGGCTGCATCATTGTCCTGATCATGATCCCTGTAATTTTATTTGTGTGTGTGTGGTTGCTTTAAAGACAATGGGAACACCTGAACAATTGAAGAAACATATTACTCCCCAATGCAAACCCATATGCAAAGAACTGGGAAGCATTTTATTGATATTTGCTCAGTATTTAATTGTACTGTGTCATGGTTTGAACTATACTGTATTTGCAGATAATCATAGCTGTCCTGCTGACCAGTTTAAGTGCCTGAATAACCGCTGCATTCCTAAAAAATGGTTATGCGACGGAACCAATGACTGTGGGAATAATGAAGATGAGTCCAACGTTACATGTTCAGGTACAGTGCCTTTTATATGGACAGAGTTAGCTCTATATTCTGGCAATAAGACGTTCCTTTCATGCACTGTAAAACTTCATGTACTTCATGTGCGCACCATATTTTCCATTCCCAGTAGTCCTGCTGGGCCGTTGACTTACTTTGTGGAATATTAATACCTGCTGCTTGCTTGTTTCCTGTGCGCCACTGTTTGTGATATATAGAGCTCTCAGTGGAGCATCACCTAGGGATGTACGTTCAGTACATTTGTGTCTTGTGCTGTTAGTCTTCGCTGTTGGGTATAGGTTTGCGGTGGCAGCTTTATTCACAGGAGGATTATCAGTAGTGGCATGATAGTGGTCACAAGAAGTAGCAACAGTGAGGGTATCAAGAGGCTATACAGTACATCACTGCAGTGCAGTGATCACTGCTGATGGAAACAACAATGTGGAGTGGAATTCATTTGAGTTGACAGCAAACCACATTTTAGGATAATCCCAAGACTTAATTCTACAGTACTAACTAAGTGACAGAGTGGAACACCAGCCAAAAGCTATCTACTGTATGCAAAAACCTTCAGTAAACACACACTTTGAGAACAGTCCTCTGGGGCCCAGAATTCCAGCTACTGTATATCTGCTGATTAGGCCTCCAATCTAATTGGTGGTGAGACTGGAGAGAAGAAATTGCATTAAATCCTCAGTGTTACCTTGCAGTTGGTGGTGATGAAATGCTTTAGGGGATTAAATATTACCAAATCTGCACAGGACAAAAATCTTTTATTTTTCTTTCCACTGTGGATTGATTGCACCATGAATTGGCAAAGGTGCAGTAAGACAGCTGACTGTCATCAATGTTCTTTTTCACAAACTTCACTTTTTTTCAAGAACAGGGTTAACGCATTTTCCAGACACTAAACTTTTAGATTTTCATGTTTTTTCACATACAAAGATTTTTTTCTTTTAAACATCACAATTATCTTATAAAAGGAAATAGAGTAAAGTGGTGGTAGTGTTGTTGTCAAGGCTTTTCTTTTGGCTTTAATACAGTGATTGAAATTACTGAACATATGGTTTGATTTCTCAAATCAAATATTGCTAACTGTCAATGTAATGTTTAGCATGTACAGTATGGCATGTCCTTCTGTTTTGAAAGGTGACAGTTTAATTAAAAACATTTTTAAAAAATACACATTCAGCCAAGAGATGTGCACAATCATTTTCAAGCAAACCATTTTTGTTTGATCTATAGAGAAATAATTAATCCTTTTTAAAAAATAGAAATTGTACATGTGGGAAAAAAAAAAGTTCCTCTTACACAAAGGCAGTCAGCTGGGTAACACTTTCCATTACATACAGTATATAGTTACCTCTGTCCACTGCTGTGGTTCCTAACTGAGAAAACCACCATCATTCAGGTGGCTGTGCCGCCTGAATTACCAGGGAAACAACTTTGAATAACGGACTTAGAGAAACAACCATTCTTAAGAGTTCTAATCGACATCCCATCAACAAACAAATTCACTCCACTCCAGGGCCCAGAATCGATCGGCCAGGACGTGAGAGCTCAGGTACCATTGGTGTGTGTGTGTGTGTGTGGGGCTGACTGGATTGCTTATGATACTTTAGTACTTACTTCTCAGAAATTTGTTTAGCATCCAAGCAGCTACAGTATGTTTTACACTCAGACATACTAAAACCAAAAACAAGACAAATAAACATTACATTAAAAATAAATACACATTTATGTAATGGGCATTAGCCCATACATAGTAATTACACCCCACTTCTACAGGAATCCACATACTGTAGGCTACCAGAACCTTAAAGAACCTTTAACAATCATCCTAAGCCCCTTTAATTGCACAATAGCCCTTCATGTTTCACCAGTAATTGCACTTGCCCATGAACCAATACTCCTTTACTGTGAACTTTCTTATTTAGTAGTCGAATTTGGGATAAAGAAAGTCCTCCTTTTGTTACATCTACATTGAAGTAGTTGGAGGGAGTCTAAAACGTCTGTTGGTATTCTTTGTGCACAACGTGTGAGGGATCAGATAGTCTCGGTAACAGCTAGTCTCACCATACAATACTCTTGTAGTGTGAAAGCTCTGTCAAGTGGCTGCCCCACTAACTTAGAATACATCCTCAAGAGTCTGGGCATCTTGTCTTTTTATTGCACAGAAAGACTGTTACACTAGATGGCTATTCCGTACTGTATGACACTTTGTACAACAGCACTGAAAACACGGACAGAACCTGACTGCTGGCACCAAAAACCTGTAGCCTGCGAAGAAAGTAAATTTGCTGTTGTGCATCTCATGCAGGCTGCTCTTGTAACTGCCTGGCTTTGTTTAACGGATCTTTGTGTAAACTCTGGTGGAGGGTGGTGCTAGGATAAGGGACACATTTTTTTGGTTTTGTAAGGTATTTGTTCCATTTAAGGAAAACGTAACATCAAAAGTTGTTTAAAAAACGTGTACAATTGCTCACTAGTTGACCATCAGCCTTCATACTTGCTCATGATTACGATGTTACCATCCCATGTTTTAATGCAGATAATGTTTTTTTACTGAGAGGCAGCTTTATGACAATGGCAGTTATTTCAAAGTAAATGTGTCATATACAGCAGTGAGAGAATTCAACACAGATTGTTTTAGCTATGTGTAATCACAAGTGAGTACATATATATTTACTGAATTAAATAACCTAATAGCAATAGGTAACTACTATGTAAACAATGTAAATAGTCTGTAAAAAGAGACACAATGGGAAGAATTGCCATCACTTGTTTGTAATTCTGCTTCTTATATTGTCCATATAAATTCATATTAAGAATTGTACAAAAAGTCTGTGATGAATATTATCTCAAATTAAACATTTCAGTCTTAAAACTTTTCATATTTCATTTGATCAGTTTTTATGTAGCTGATATAAAATATCTTGATTTATCATGTGTTTAGATATGGTGCTCTGACATAAACCTGAATAGTACTTAAAACTAATAAAGTTAAGTGTCGCATTAAAATATTTAAAAAATATCAGCAACTTTTAAATATTTTAAAGAAGGACCTTTCATACTTTGTAAAAAATCAAATTAACATTTTAGTTTCATAAAGCAACAAACATAAATCAATAATTTTGAGGTTTAAGTCTTCGAAAGACATTTCCAGTTCTTTTTACATGGATTTAGTTTTTATGTTAATTATGTAATAAAATGCAATTACCATCGTTTCTTTTAGAGAATAACACAGGATTTCATGGACAATCCCCTCAGGACACAGGACAAGAATTGCAAATTAGGGACATGTCTTGCATTTATAAAGTACTTGAATACAGTGTATTCTCAAGCCATTACTGCTATGAAAGGCCTTTAAAATGGAAATGCTCTTTGCATTGAATTATCAGCCTATCATCTAATACACATAGACATTTATAAAGACAAATAACTTTAATTGGGGTTGTTATTAAAAGTACTAAGCACAGCTTAAAGAGGCACTACAGGCTACACTTAGACTGCAATAAAATATAAACTGCTCAATGGTGTTACAAACAATTTTATTCACGCCTTTCTTGACATTTTCTGCTGAGGTTTTATTTCTATCAAGTATTATTTTCTTGATAATATAATTGTAATAGTTTCTTTTAAAGCTACATTCTGTTAAGGCTTTTACATGACATTTTAGTAATGTTTATTGGTATAGAAGAATATTCCTTGTTTCTTTGTGTCCTTTGTCATTTTTTATTTGAATTACTGTATATTAGTTTTAAACACAGGCATTAACATGGTTTTTAATATTCTCCATTTGTATCATACTTAATTATTTATTATGAGCTGGTAGCTTTTGCTAAGACTTTAAAATATAAACACAGCAAGAGGATACAAAACAAAATCCTTTGGAAATATTAGTAAATGGTACTCAGAGTACAGCTAAGGAAAGAAAATTTGAAATTTGGTGATGTACTGTACAGATGCAGCCATCTACAATAGAATGTGCAAGGTGTCAGTTAGTATACCGTAGTGTGGTATGACGGACAATACCGTGTCACGGTGCTTCAATTTTTGTTAATATTCTGATGCAGTACTCTGTAAAACTGCCAGGTAGTGCAGTAAATCCTTAAAGTACCACAGCTACAGTATGTGTGGTTGTCTGACGAATTAGTACAGTATTAAAATATCTCATCAAAAATATCATCTGCAAATTATACATATTTTAAAGAAGGACGTTTAACATATCTTTCATACTATGTAAAAAGTAAATCTAAATTTTAGTATTAAATGTTTATTAACCCATTCGTGCTTTCCTGCACTATGCATCATACTGTCCTAGTGACAATTTTCTAAAAAATACCATGTAACACACAACTCCTGTATGTCATAATAATAATTGCTTACACTTATATAGTGCTTTTCTGGACACTCCACTCAAAGCTCTTTACAGGTAATGGGCACTCCCCTCCAACATCACCAGTGTGCAGCCCCACCTGGATGATGCGATAGTAGCCATAGTGTGCTAGTACACTCACCACACACCATCTTTCAGTGGGGAGGAGAGCCTTTTTGTGTGAATTAACAAAACAAAATAGATGTAATTAAAAAACAATGTATTTTAGACAAATACATTTATAATTACCATAGCTGACAGGAGGGTACCACCTTCAACATGACAGTAACATACAGTAGTTGACAAAAATAATGTTTTTGAAATGTATTAAAAATAATTAATACCATTGAAATATAAAATTTGCTAACAAATTTTGAGGAAAAAACAAATTTCATACTTAAAGGGATGTATTTAAGAAGTTAATCAATTAGAGAACAAATAGATAATTCCAAAATAAAACAGGAAAACAAAGTAGAAAATCCCTGAAAAACTGCTTGGTAAACTGTCTGCAAAAATTACATCTTGCAGAAGTTCTGCTTTCTTGGATTTGGCAAGTAATTATGTGACTTACTGTATGTTTGTTCAAGTAAATGTTTGTTGTTTTTATTTTAAACCTTGCAAATGTCCATGGGACATTTAGTTAAAACAAGCATGTCAAAACGTTCTCAAAATAACCACAGCAAGTGACAGGGTTAAAGAATTAAAGGAAGAAAATGTTAATGAAGTACTTCTTCACTGAATATTGTTCAATGATACCTTATTTTTAATTTTCAACTACCACTACCAGCTATATAAAGCTGGTATTTATATCCATAAATCAATAACATTTGATTCAGAAATATGATTATATATATTTTTTATTTCCCCTCTATCAAAATTTCCCCTAATTACAGTATGTATATGGAATCAAAGCAGATTTTAAACAATACTAAAACAGATTTAATGAAGCTACAGTTTCACTAACATCTACTGCACAAGTGCCACTTATCAATCTTCTCTGGGCAGTAAAGTGCTAAATTTGGCATGCATCAATATGTTATTGATGAACACACAACATTTAAAGTGAATAATCACAACTTGGATGTTCAATTTGAACTGTTCTATTAATAAAAGAATATAAATGTACACACAACTGCAGAAACATAACAAAAACAGAGTGAATGCATACTTCTTCATTATCAAGACTGAAACATGAACAGCAGATCAAAAGTGGAAATTTGTAGAAGTATGTTTGAATCTGAACTTTAGGCACTCTGTTACATACTGTAAATGTTGTGAGAGTATGGAATTAGTTACCCAGCCAAGTCGTTGAAGTCAAAACTCTTATTTTAAGAAATAGTTGAATAAGATCCTTAGATCAATTCACTATTTTCAAAAAAAGCTACTGTAGGTGAGGCAGAAGGCCACCTCTCCTATATACTGTAACCTTTCTTATGCCCTTGCCCTTACTGTGAATCAGCTGTCCTATCCTTAGTGTCTCTTCATTGTCCTTATGTGCTCCGTGTCTGGTGATGGACTGGAGTCCTATCCAGGGTGTTGTCACTCCTGGATGCTGTACTTCTAGGACAGACTCTGAGTTGCTGTGACCTTAACCAGGCAAAAACACCTTACGCATAATGGATGGATGTTTTCTTCTGATACTGTATATAGTATGTGGAGATATATCTTCCTCTTCTTTTAGATTGTGACATTGAAACTTTTGGCATACTTTATTTTTCTTTTTTGCAGTTATATGTTCTTGGCATATGAGTAAATGCGGCTTAGGAATGCTTTGAGTGGTCAAATTTTAAGTCAAATAAAATCCTAATAAATTTCCTGACAGTCAGATATTTACAGAAAACATACTTCCAAATGAAGCAAGTTCTACTTGAAGAGGAAGGCGCTAGCTGCTGGTGTCAAAACATCCTGTGTCTCTTGGCTCTCAGATTTCTTGTCTTTGAATTTGTTTTGCATTGAATTGACACTAACGCAAGATCTAGCCAAACTTTTAAGTCTATCAGTGATGGCAAAATGAGTTCCAGATGGATGGCTTGAGATCGCTGGCTATAGATACAAAAGCAAACGGAGGATTTTGTGGCTTATCCTTCCATGTGCGTCAGAATTGATATAAAACAGGTTTTTTTTTTAAGTTGGGACTTATGACTGAAACCTGAGGGATGTGACAATCAAAAGCAGGTTATTAACAGTCTTAAAACATACTGAGATGGCTGTGCATTAAAGAACTCCTTCAGTCCTCGGCTGAATAAGGGTTTTTTTTTACTTGGTAGATTAAATAAGATGTTGCATTTACATGTACTGTACAAGAAGTTACAAAGCTGTAATAAACCTCATTATTCAACTTCAGATTCTTTCAGTTTCTTATATGTACTGTAATTTGTGTTGATTGTTATCATTGCATTTTCTTTCCTGGAGCGACCAATTGCATCATAGGATGTGAGTGTGTGACATCTAGAAGAGACACAACCGATTTAATTATTAAAGAATATAGCTCCTCAATCAAGAAGTGATAAGAGAGGACTTATCTGGACATTCTTTATGACCATATGGATTGTAATAATTTTTTGCTTTCTTTCTTTAACACTATTTGCTATCAGTAGAAGAGGTGCCACATCAAGGCCATATTTTATTTTTTCAGGGAAAGCAAGTGCGCTTCACCTCTGACAGGACGGGAATTTAACAATTATTTTAACTTCTCATTCAGAATGTAATTTTCTGGAAAATAGACAAGTAAGATAAATCAAATTAATTGGGATTCTGACAAGTAAGGGTATAACAGTGTTGATGGATTTATATCGTCCCTTTAAAATGTGTTTATACAAAACACTAGTGTTGCAATTAAATCAAAACTTAATTTGAGTTGAGGGTGGTGTGTGAGAAAATAATATAATTTTTATTTTGTATAATATTGTTTTTTTGGATTGTTTATTTGCCTCCAATTTTATTTGGAATTTATTTGCAAAATTATCAGAATTTTAAGAAATTATGTAAATCTCTTGCCAAGCAGCATGAAACTACTGTAAACTTCCATATTGCAGGTTTATTTGCATTTTACTGTTGATGTCTGCTTTTGCTTTTTCCCCTCAGCTCAGACTTGCCAGCCTGGCCAGTTTGCCTGTCGTAACGGACGCTGTATCCCAGTCTCCTGGCTCTGTGATCGAGATGATGACTGTGGAGACCAGTCCGATGAAGCTCCTTCGTGTGGTGAGTTTGTGATGGGAATGCCCATCGAGAGTGAGCTTCCTAAGCAAAGGGCTACATGTCTCTAATATACAGTACATATGAACTGATGCTTTAAGATTCTTTGCAGAAAGAATCTGAAGCAGGTGGGCATTTCGCCTAAAAATAGATCCAACACATGCAATAGTAAATATACATTATAAATTAGATCTTGATTTGAAGGTTATATTTCGTCGCTAAAACAGTTCAACGTTTTTAGTGCTGTTTACCTTGTGTATAAGGATGATGGTAAAAAATAAATCTCTTGTGATTCAAAAGGGTTCTGAAGAAATTAAGAAAAAAGCAAAATGCCATATTTCTCAAACACCCCCTCCCACACACAGACTTTCTTTCATTCACTCACAAATCGTCATGGGAATTTTTTGTTTGATTTGTGGGAAAGACGCTCTCAGACAAACAAGTGCAGCATATTTTGATTTTGGAACGTGTGTAAAGATAAATTAGACTACAGAAAAACAGAGCAGAGATCTGAGGAGGAAAACAGTTTTTAACTTTAGTTTCTAAATTAGACCTTATATTAGTAACACATTATAATATTGTTCAGTAATAAAACCTTCATTAATCCTTAATATATTATTAACTCTTTTTTAATTATTATGAATAGATCAGTTAAAATACAGTATTTACCGCTCTTCATGTATAAATGTCTGTTGTAATATAATGCCTTTTTTCACATTTTGTTGATTTAAAGCTTGCAGTCCTGACACTTTGAATTAACTATTACTTTAATAATTACCATACAACCTGCTTCACATATTAAAAAACAAACATTGATGTTATTAAATGGATAATGTTAATGTTATTAAATGGATAATATAAAAAATCATGGAAAAAGTTCTGATTGAATAAGTATTCATACCCTTTGATGGGGTAAAACCTAAAAATAATTTAGGAACAAGTCAAGGTTAATTTCACATTGAAAAATATAGTTTTTTTCATGTGTGTTTCCTTACTATTTTTCAGTGAGGAATTAACCTTTACATGTTCCTTTGCAGCCTACCACATTCTGAAGCAGATCGCAACCAGAACAACTAAATCAATTTACTGTAGGTGCATAAAATTAACTTAAGAAGCCACACAATTGGTTGAGATCTATTTATATGCGATAATGCATTCATGGTGTTTCACTCTCTGATTTTCAAGTAAAGCTTCAGCTATGAAGGCTAAAGAAGCTTTCAGAACTACACAGGGACAAATTTGAGGAAAAGCATTAAATATTCACCATTCAGCAAGAGAATGGCCCAAAGCACAAGGTCATAACTACAGTACAAGAGGGGGGACCTTTATTTTTATACATTTATTTTAACTTACCATTAGAAATCTTCAGTGTGAGGTGATTTAGGTTTTGAGCAAAAATAGTAATAAAAATATCTCACTCAAAATCCACTCAAACACTTATATGGTAATGGAGAACCCTTCCACCACCACCAGTGTGCAGCACCAATATGCTCACCACTGGGAGGAGGACAGAGTAGGTTTATTATATGTACTGTATATACAGTATGAACAGATATGTATTATACCATCAATATACCATCTTTAAGGATTAATTTTAGGTTAATGAGGGATTTATTTAACATTATTATATTAGTTTATTAACATTATTATATAATATTATATTATATTATATATATCTTACCCTTGTATTCATGTTCATGAAAAAAGGCAATGCAGTGAAAAGCTGTTACATTTAGACAGAATGGAGGTAATGTAAAAATGCTTACAGTTACAGATTCTGTCAAGCATTTCAGAAATATGGGTAACCACATCCGAACAACCTCGCTTTGAGTCAAGGGCAAGAAAAATATTAAAGGACAGTCCTGTGGAAATGAAACACATCTAGTACACATCTGGACGTATATTGTAATAACCGCAGTATGCAGACCTTAAAAAGTTTGTACAATTCCTCTCTTTAAAATAAACAGTGTAGATGTTTTTGCTACTGTAGCAACTCAAACGTGTTATCTATAGCTCCTACTGTAAGTAGTATTCCTTTGAAATATGAGTTGCCTTAAATTATTCCTTCCTAACTGAATAGCTTTTCTGTAAACTGTGGCAGGAGCCAGTGCTTTAACAATGTTAGTTGTTTTTTTTCCCTGTGAAAACTTCCACAACATCTCTTACTTCGAATGCACCACACTCTAGCTAAAGCCATTTCTTACAGAATTCTAATTTTCTTTAATGTGGTTGCTTACTGCAATTTTATTGCCTATAAGAATTTAGATTTGTCATTCTTTTTTATCTGGGAGGAGCATTCAAAAACACTAGTGAAATACATTCTGCATCCCCCTGGTGGAGTATTTTCAGCGGTACTTGTTTTTAAGTGTAAGAGTCACTCCAGGTGAATCAGAACAAAATGAAAGAAAAGCAATTCAGAAGTAATTTTCTCAATAATGTAACTATTATATTCTCTGCTAAGGGCTGTGTGAAGACTTTGGAACAAAAGTTCCTATTAGGTTGGATGTCGCGTTTAGAAATGTTAGTGAATTGTACAATTTAATTTGGGTATATGGTCAAATCAATTTCAACAAGGAAAAAAGGGTGTTTGAAAATCCTGTAAAGTGTTATTAAGGAGCTGTATGGGCTTAAAAATATATAATAAAGATAATGATCTTTAATTTTATTTAAAATAAGAACATTGTCAAATATGTTTTCACAAACATACAGCACAATCTAGAACCCCAGGACACAACTGTTTTGTAAGCTTTCTCAATTTTGAGCTTTTTTATTTTTAACATGACTTGCAGGTGTTTTTTTGTCCTAAATTGATAACTTTGCTAGAGTTGTTCTTTTTTGTAATGTAAAGATAAACCTGTAAAAAAAAGTGCATCTTTTGGAAACAACACTGCTCATGGGAAAGGACCAAAACAACACATTCACAAAATAAATAAAATGCTTTCAAACATATTATTATGACAGCAGGTATTTTTTTTCAAGTATTTTTTTTAAACAAGCAACAAGTCTACAGTATACAGTACATACTGTAGTTTGGTGTCTGTGAGGTACAGGAACGTGGCCTAATAAATCCTGTCAGGTCAGCAAGACATACAGGAAAACAATTTGCAAGACAAGCAAGTGGGGGAAACACTCACATTTCACATTTTCGAGTCAGTGCAGTATGTTTTTAAATTACTTGGGTAAAAGGGAAGCTTTGCCACAGATTTACATGAATATACCAAGAGATGGCCTTATTTAATACTAAGCATTAGCCATATTGAATGTACATTCATCTTGGACTCAATACTGCTTTGAAATCTCCATTAATTGGTATGCAGTTCATAATACCAACTGAAACTTAATTCTTGTGTTGATAAAAAGTGGGGCTGATCTCTGCTAAAATTAATTTGCACATTACCAAGAATCCACTTCATTTAAATGAAAAACCATATTTATATTTTTCCAGTGAATTCATGTTGACTGGAGAGAAAGAATACAATCTTGTTTTTAAACCATGTTGTAAAAATTAACTAACAGATGTTGGTTATTTATAGAGGTGTTTGGCTTTTTGTAGTGCCCATTTGTTTTGCTCAGCAAGAGCTGTCACTATCTGTCAATATTGTTTTCATTCTAAGCTATGCAGTCTAGACTGTATAGTAATAAATAGTTAAAATAAAAATGAGATGAATAACAATATTATTTAAGGCTGAAAATAATGTACTGTTTTAAAAGGGATGTATACAAGGAAAATGTGTACAGCATAAATAAACTTCAATATGCTAAACCTCCTTTGTAAACAATTCTTTAAAGATCTCTGTCTAAGTCAAGCAACAATCAATGTGAAGTTTTAACAGTAATTGGACACTAGCTTCAAAAAGAGCTGTTTGTATAATATCTCAAACAATGTCAAATCAATAGCAGTGTCTTTCTTTCTGAGATGTTGAGTCCAGATATTTGACACAAAAACGTAATACATTTAATAATAGAATGCATTATTGTGTCGCACAGAGAAAAACAATTGGTTTTCAACTGATCAGTCCACAAAATAGCATCATTGTTATTTTAAGCCTAATTAAAGTATTCTCATTGAATTAAAATAGCAAAACAGTTATGCAAAACATATAGATTTACATCTATATGTTATATCTGTTGCAATCATAGTTCATAGTCATATTTCAAACATACATCTGAAAATAGCTTAAGAAGCTAATGACCATTCCTCCAGGTCGCATTGCTCTAGGTCTTTTGCACCCTTTGGTTTTTGTTTGTAAGCTGCACTCTTCAGTTTATATTGAACCACAGATGTTTGATTGGATTGATGTCTAGAGATTGTGGTGGCTAGCAAGCATTTAATTTGAGTACAGTTAGCCATCTGTTTGTCAGTTTGGATTTTTTATTTAAATTAATGTCATTCTGGCTTGCCAGAGCTTGAGCTTTGTGGCAAAGAAAATCAAGCATTTGAATGAAATGTCCAGGTGCGTGTTGGGAGTCAATGATTCTTGGATTACAAGAACTACTGGACTCACAGATGCAAAACAGTCCTAAAACATAACAGACTCCCCCCACCCCCACGCACACACACCACACACACACCTTTTGTTCTCGTTTTCGTAACATGAGCAGAACTCTCTTACATCAGAATTCACACTGATGAGCATGTCCAAAAAGCTTGATGTTCATCACACCATAGAACATGGTTCTAATTGACATGAAATTAGGAAAATTCAAGTAATGGGTTTTTATGTTTCACCCGTGGAAGGCTTCTTCCTTGCAACCCTTAGCTGGCGATGTTGAATAGGGGGTTTAGATACTTATTGCAATCCTCGAGATGCTTTCTCAATCTCAAACTGTTGCTTTTGGATGTACAGTATGATTGCCTTCCGAACCACTTTTTTCGTGGGTAGCAAGATACTGTAGACTTGTGTCCTTTTCCTGGCAAAGATGCCATGACAACTGCATTCTTAAACTTCTTGATAATGGACACTACAGTGGAAAGTCGTAGATTCAGTTTTTTGTGGATTCTTCTGTAGTCATTATTCAACTTGTAGAGGTCAGTAACCTTTCGCCTGCAGTCTTCAGAGACCTCAATGACCTTGACCATGATGATACTGCTAAAAATATATTCTGTGTGTTACCTCCTCTTACACCCCAGGGAAACAGGAAACCATTGAAGGCCTCTAAAGTTCTTGAGGTTTCTAATGTCATTCCAAAGAGCAGAATGTTATCAGAGCATTTGATTTTATTTAAACAGATTTATCTTTTTTTCCTATTTCATCTGGAGCACGAATAAATCTGGATGGCTTTTTATATTGTGCTGTACACTATATATTATCTAGAACATATACATATATATACTGTATTTCTATATATTATATATATGCTTCACATTTGAGATTTGTGCCATTTTATCTTATTTCATTGATTTTGACTGGAATAATTGGCCAACAAAGGTAAACATATTATATTTGTAGTTAAAATTGATATGGCTATACTTTATCTTGATCTTTCCAAGCATACTGTATGTTTATAAATATTAACCCAAAGTGGTTCATCTCTTCGGTGGGAAGGTAGAAAGTGAATAGGTTTTGAAAAAGATTTCTGCTAGATTTATTTAATATTTTTAAGCAACAACAAAAGCTAGATTAGAGTGCCACATAAAAAAATATTTTTTCCAGCAAAGAAAAAACACAAAAAAGTCAATAATGCATCTAATGAATGTTTCATGTCCATTTCTAAGCTTTCACTACAGGAGATAAAACATTACTTTTTTGTTCAAAACTTAAATTGCTCCTTTACGGAGATGCAGACTTTTTTTTTTCTTCAGGAAAAACTTTTGCCCAATAGTTCAAAAGAATTCTGTTTTTTCTTAGCAGTTAGTTATATTTTGATATTTTTACAGTTGAATGATTTGTGAAAGTTAAAACTTTCCCTTTGAAATGGAAGGTTTGTTCATTAGGGTACAGATAGACAGCCTAGCTTTGGTACAGATCAGTTTAGTTCTGCTTTGACTAAACTCTAGGTTGATTATCACTAGTCGCTGAGAAAGGCAATGTTTTTTTAGGAAATCCGTAATGCGACAGAAGTAAAATATGCAAGACAAATGACCAAAAAGCAAAACATATCATTGATTTGAGATGTGTTAATGCCATTAACAGCTTTTCCTACCTGTGAAGCCCTGACACAGTTTGGCTGTGCCAATGGAAGGTGCATCAGCATGAAATGGCACTGTGATTCAGGTAAGTAAACGTAGCCCATGAGTTAGTAGTAAGGGTAAAGCTGTCATTCTGAGAATACAGTATAAGAAATTCACTCATTTATTCTTTCATCTAGACACTTTGTGATAGAAACTTAATTATTGGTTCTGACCACACTGTGGCTGGGTTGTACAGTATGTTCCACATTAGTGTAATACTTTGTGTTAAGAAGCACTGTACCTCCCGTTTTTAGTTGTAAATGGTTTGTGATTCTTTGTTGATGGTGGAGAAGAGCATGAAGTTCAATTTTTCAATGGTTTTGAGGATTTGAAAATGGACCCTTCATAGTTATCTCTGTTCAAGGACTAAATATATATATATATTAGTCTGTCACTATAGGGCATTTCTTTAAGTCGTATAGTACATGTATTGAGTTCATGTTTGCACTTGTCTTATATATTTAAACACTATTTAAATATTATTCAAGACTTGACAAACATTTAATCAATGACATTTCATTTTTACTATTGAAGAGAATGCAGGGAGCAAAGCAAACAATAGTTATAAATTAGGAAACACTGAGGTTGAAGAAGTTGTGTGTGGAAAAAGACTTGTGAATTTTCGTTGACACAACTAAGTGTAGATAACTGTAAAAAGGCAAAGGAAATGTTATGATATATGGATACATCTGTATCATTTAAATCAAAGGCTATCATGTTAAAATAGTAAGTACAATTGTGGTCACCAGGTTCCAAAAACTATTTCTGCTGTGAAATCAGTCCAAAGAAGACCAGAGCCCATAGGAGTATCTTATAGTGAAAGGGTAAATCTTGTTCCTTTAAGTGCATTTGGTAGAATATCATCAGGCCTTAGAGATTTAATTATCTGCAGTGCTTTTAATACCAGTTTCCTCCTGTATGTTAAAATGATTTAATACAGACACTTGTCTTTTCTAAATCTAAGGCATGTTATTGTTTTTCTTGGTGAAAACCTGAGCCAACTATTCATGTAGTAATAGACAGTTAATTAATACTAACTACTTCCCCCAACCTTGTCTAAAATTTCCAGATGTTTATTATTGAGACACTATACTTTATTTCAAGATTAAGGGTCCTGTCCTGCTCCTGGAGGGCCGGTGGGCCTTCTGGTGTTTCAGACTTCTCTAAAGCAGCAGCACCTGAAGAGCTGAGAGGAGCTGTTGAACAGGAATCAACTGGTTAAGCACATTAGGAATTCAGCTGGAATTAATTTCCACAGAAACACCGACTCTCCACGACCAGGACTGGACACCACAATTTTACTCTTGTACTGGTCTTTTGTTGGTATAATAAGGATATATTTGTATCCTTTTAATCTTGTGCTGTTTTATGTGATTCACCCTCTACCTACGTAAAATTATCATACAGTATATTCATAATTGAATTGTAACTATTGATCAGCAAGCTGGATTCTGAGGTGAGTCATAAATACGTTACCTGTAATAGCTATCTTTTTACAGATGTAATCTATAAATGCATGTGGTGCAAAAAGAAACTGTTTGAGGACCTTCTAAGACAATTGCCACTTTAATTTCAATTTGTAGTTTCTACATATAAAAGAATTTAGTTACAGACATAACAGTTAGCACTCTCAAACTCCACCATTGTTATTCACCAGCTGATTATGTGTAACAGTCATTCCTAAACTACACTTCAAATGTCAGTGATGCCTTCTCTACGTTTATTGAGCAGTGATCCATCCAAGCCTGTAATGGTTAGCATATTGTTGTAAATAAAGTTATTAGCAAGGTACACAATGAGGATATTTAGGTTTTCAATTTTTCATACTAAGGCAGTACACACTACACATTGAAAAATACTGGTGAGAAATACATGTTACAGCTGTTCCTTAGAAAATGTCCTGTGTGACTAACCTTGGTGCATGTCTGTCCCTGCAGATGATGACTGTGGCGATGGCAGCGATGAGATTGGGTGTGCCCACTCCTGCTCAGATGTCCAGTTCCACTGTTCCAGTGGGAGGTGTATACCAGATCACTGGGCCTGTGATGGTGACAATGATTGTGGTGACTTTAGTGATGAGACTAATGCTACGTGCACAGTAGCAGGTTAGTTTTTAAAATACTGTGGCCACTTTTTTTATAGAGTCTGACACTGTTCATCCCAGTATATTCACAATCTTATTATCTGAGTGAATGGAAGTCAATGCTCATTAATCAGGATTTTTATTAGTAGAAATATTAAGAGTACTCCTCTAATGCTACATCATTTATTACCAATACTTCTGTAAATCCCATGATCATTACTGTTTTTAACTGCTGTCACTGTCTTTACTACTACTGGTAGTATATTTTTAACAAGTTCAATTCAGATCTAAACTTAAAATCCATGCGCATATTTCTCCCATTTTAGCTTCCTTCTACAATAACATTCAGAATAAATAAATCAAATTATGTGATGATCACAGAACTCTAAAACCTTGCTTCCTGTAATTGTTTTTAAATGTTTTTATACCCGTCTCTTTTCTTCTGTTATTTTATTGTGAGTACCTTGAGATGTTCTATAAGGCTATATAAAATACAGATTATCATATCAAAATACAGATTAACACGCTGTTATGAATGTTGCTTAATGCTTCTGTTGCTGCTGGTTCTACAAGTAATACGTTTATTTACTGAGCCTGTTGAATGTGAGTTATCTGTTTCATGATAGGGTTGCAGAAAATGTGCCAAGAGTAAAATAATATTTTTCTTATCCATTTCTGTCTTCTGAGAGATTTCATTTGGACCGCAGTGTAGTAACACAAAAAAAATCCTATTTTATAATCCTATTTTCTTTTTGGAAAATCCCCTTAGATCTTGAATCCTTTAAATTATTTTAATTATGTAGTATTGCAGAGATGGACCTTGAAATAGTTACATCTCACTTTCCTGTCACAAAGATGGTGAAGTTATTCATCATAATCCTTCCCAGTGCTCTTCCCCAGCCTTTTAGGCAGTGGTCTGGTCTCTGGAGCCGGGTTCAGTGCTGAGTGGCAAACTGTGGGCAGTTTCACACGTGGTGTCTCTGCTAGCTACTGTAGTTAAAAGGAATAAAGAATAAAGGAAAATACTATTTCAGCTGGGGATCATGTACAGTATTTCTTAAAATTGAGAATTAAACACACTTAGGGTGCATATTAGAATGAGGAAATTCATAAAGAAGCTGTATAAAGTAGATTAAAAAAAAGAATAAAGTAATTAATGCTGGTTGACATTTCAGCTGCTAAATTATCTTTTCATTTAATGGTAATTAACTCAGAACTCCAGTGAAAAATATTCACCAGCAGTTTAAAACCTTAATCTTTGATTTCATACAAATATGAAGTATTGTTTCAGTCCTTGTTATGTATACTCTCTGTAAGATATGAACTTTTCTTTCAAAGTACATTACAGCAGGTTCTGCACATATACCGTAGTACTCAGATTCAAAAATGAAGCTGATTTGCAGGTTGACTGAACATTTTTTTAAGAGTGCTTGTGGGAATCTGTGGTCTTTCCACAGTTTTCTGATGAATCATCCTGAGCTTTAATGGCAGCCAATTCATAGGAATAGTTTAAATGCCTACTGAGTGATTTCAATTTTAATGCTAGAAGGTCAGGTAAAATCCTAAGTTTGTTGCTCTAACATCTGAACCACTTGCACAGTGGATTATGTTTCAGATTTTTCTAACAATACTTTTTAAGAATTACACCATCAATAAAATGTTTAATTAGAATTTCAAGTGATGCATTTTCATGTATTCTACAGTATTTTGGCACAGAATGCCTCATTAAGTTTGCCATTTTTTAATATTTATTTTTATTCCTAAATAACAGCAAATTGTAACTCTCACCCAAGAGAGGAAAGCTTTAAATGCAAACCTGACCCTCATATTTAAATGCTCTCTGTGATCAGTCAAGCAGTATTGAGATAACATAAGCTCTAAATTGAAATGTCAGCCCTTGACATCAGTGTTAAATGACAATCAGAATGGAGATTTGTAGCCAGGACTCTTAAACATCCAGTAACTGAGTAAGCTGGCAAAACTGAAATATATCTGCTCTGCTGGGAGTCTTGACATGCTTTACGTTTATGACTGATGATTGAGGACTTACATTTTCCCACTTTGGGGAAAAAAATTATTGCTTTGCAGGACTAATGTGTTGCAATGAAAGGGTTCCTCAGCCACAGAATTGTGCTGAGTTTGCCTTAATTGGTGATTCAATTTTGTCCGCAGGCATGCATCCCCTCAGCGACTGCAGCAGCGAGGAGTTCCACTGTCAGGGCGATGGGACGTGCATTCCTGAGCGCTGGCGATGTGACGGGGACAAAGATTGTGAAGACGGCAGTGATGAGCAGAGCTGTGGGGCCACCAGGAGGATGTGTGACCCAAAATCCAAGTTCACCTGCAAGGTCTCGGGTAAGATAAAGGGACTTGTTGGAAAGGCGTTGTTCACATAAGGCAGGAACCCTGTGCTGGAGCCTGTTTTAAAAATTGCCTTAATGTGCAGATTGCAAATAAATGGGTTATATACAAATATAAACTAAAAAGTAATTTTGGTGAAATATAAATATACTGTATTCCCTTAAATAATTATTACCATAACTATAAACTTTTTCATACTTGAATAGTATTAGAATTAAAGAAAAACAAATTCAATTGTGTTTTTTAACATATATACAGTAATTTGTTTTTCAATTCAAATTTTACATTTACATGTACATTTACATTTTGAAGTGAACAGGTTTAGCTACAGTATCTGATATTGATGTGTTATTGTAAGTTTCCTTTAAAAATGTAAAATACTATAATTATCAAAAGAGATTGCTTCATTTTAATTTTAATGTAACAAGCTTTATTTCAATCTGCTTAATTTTTTTAACCTGTGAAATATGGGAATCCAAGATAAAGGTTCATCCATCTCATCCATTGTATGTCTTAGCTGTTAATTTTTAAATTCCCAGAACATACAGCTCTGTTTGTGGGATTAATTAGATTCTTTTTTTATCATGTGCAGCTTCACATACTGTACATTATAAAAAGTTTTTTTTTTACTTGGTCTACCATTCAAAGGGGGTTGGGAATTTAAATTACCCTTGTGACCAAGGATCAGATGTGCCCTTAAAAATAGACACTCTAGAGCTACATTGATCCATGCTGCAAAACAGTATTTCAAAGAAAATTGAGCTTTTAGTCACAATTCATACAGTTGTCCCCAGGACATATGGACTCCCTCTTCTCTTGGGCAATGAATATTTTCTAACAGTTGGATCCTTTTTTTAACTTCAGGGACCAGGACGTTTATGCAATTATGCTTATCCAAAATGATGGTGAAGCTGATTATTGGAGTTCTTTAGCAGAAGCTAGGTCATGTGTAGCTACTGTAGACAGTGTGTGTGTTAGACCAAATAAGACCTAGTTACTGGAAATTTAGTTTCACTAACATTACTAATTCATACAGATCATCAATGGATAGACATGCCTGTATCTTGTTATACACAATTGTGAAAGTTGGCAGTTGTGAGTGGATTTGTTTTTAATATACTGTACATAATGTGAAGCTACACCTAGTTCTGCTTATCAACTGAGAAGAGATACAAACTATTTCATGTTGGAACTGCCAGATCACAAATCAATATGACAGGCAAGATACAGTAGGGTGTTAAGTAATTAACATTACTTATGCTTGTGTGGAGAAATATACAATGTCCATATCCCAGTGTTTTCAATAAGCTAAAGAAATCCTGTTGCAGATTATTGCTGATATTAGGTCTAAATTATTAATAATTAAATCATAAACCAAACTTACTAGGACGACGAGTAGAAGGTTTCAGTTCATCATTAAAAATAGCTAAACCTGGAAAATTACATTCTGTAATACACACATACAGTACTTGCAAACATTTTTTTTTTCAAACCTTGACCTGAGCTGAATTAAAATATACATCTGAAATAATAATGAGTTACTTCTTTTGATGCTTTTGCAACACTGATGTAACGAACAGTTCTTTCTGGACCCTATGCGGACGACACAATCCAAAGAAGTGGGGAAACACTAGGAAAAACATATGCAGGAATACGGGGCTGAAAACAGGGGGGGCGTGTCCAAAGTGCGCTGGTGCAAGGGGGAGGTGTGGCCAAGGCAAGCAATCCAAAAGTAATCCATAGAGGGAATCCAAAAACGCAAGAAAGTCCATAGCCAGGAGATCCATCCAAACCAGGAATTAAAAACACAAACGGTCGGAACCGGCGGACAAGGAACAGGAACAGGTTAAGAGGTTAAAACCTTAATGGGACCAGGCGCTTCCAGGTCCCGGACTCGCACAGTGCGGAAACCAGATGCAGAGCCAGGATGAACGTCAGCGCCTGGCTTTTAAGGTGGGCTAGGAAAAGGGGTCAGGTGCACAGAATTAAGTCTGAAGTGAAAGGGCTGGAGCACCCTTAAGGAGGAGGGACTATAATCGTGACAACCGAAGCTTAATTCAAAATGAGGATTTGGGAATGAAGGAACATGCCTTCTTTAAAAATGTTTTTATGTTTTTAAGGGTTTGGTTATGAAAAATATTTTCCGGACTCTGGGATTCTTTTAAGTTTTAATTGAAAAGGGAACGCACCCCAACACTGACGTTATGAGATAATGAACAATGGGTGTGCATATAAATTTGATTTCAAAACATTTTTATGTTATTAGGAAGGAATACACTGTGTACATGTTAGATTTCCATTTCCATTGTTTCATTACTGTCTATGTGCATATATTAATTGACTTATTTTTACCTGACTGTTTACTTCTGTTTTCTGGGATGAATAAATTATATGACCATACAAGTCACATTTTTCCATTTCTATTGCTCATAAAAACAAAAAATATAAGAAAATGTGTGCTATAAAATCGATTTCCAGTTGAATGCTGAAGAACCTAACCCTTTTCTTTGTTCAATTTCCATTAAAACATTTTATAAAGCATTGTAGAGCTTTCTACTGAATGAAGGATCATAGTCTTTTGAAATACATATTTTCATTAGGGTCCATAGAAGATCAAGTAAACAGACATTTTCAATGGATTGCTCACCAATAAAGCTGATTAAAACTGAGGCCAGGAACTGCAGTTGCAACCACTTCAATTCAACTAGTGATGAAGCCTATTTTCCAAACCCTATCAATTGTATTCTAAAGCAGATGTGTACTTCTATTTTTTTCTTTCAATAAATTGACAAACAATGCATGTTCTGTCTTTTATTTCAGAATAATGAGTTCCTTAAATTATATGAGTACTTTGTAAGTGTATCTGTAAGACATAGAACCTGCGCTCCTTGAATAAAATGTAAAAAATAGCAAAGTATTTTCTCAGATGTACTGTATCACATATCTTTTGCTATGAGTCTGATCACATTCCTCATTTTCTTTTATTTACTTATTTGTTTAGCATTCAAGTCACAAGGTACCAGTACACTTAATTATTTCTTCACAAGCTAAAGGGAAATTATGAAATGTCATTTTATGTTTATTTTTGGAGAAATGAAAATCCATTGTATGCAATTATTTCTTAGATCAAGAAATACCTTCTGCTACACTTGTTTCCAAAAGTATGAATCAGATACCCCCCGTGCCTGACCAGCTCTGAATCCTAGGTTAATCAAATGAAAAAAACCCTGCTGACTGTGCAATCTTTCCTACTGGCAGACACATAAGAAGCCATACTCTGCACTGTGCTGGTTAGTTACAACTCAACCAACTCTGCAGGCCACTGCGCCACAGGGTCTCTTCCTTTCGGTATTATGCAGAAGGTAACTGAGGACAATCCTTGTTTTGTAGCAAAGTGTCATATTTACATACAAATCAACAAATAGAGTTGGAAACGACTCACCCCCTTTATGCACATCATATTAAGGTGTGTGCATCATCCAGACTGAGGGCAGATATGAGGATGATGGCTCTGCAACACTGTGACACTCTGACACTGTCCAGGTGGTATATGACCAGGACTGGTGGAGTTTTTTTTCTGTTCTCTTCAGTACAGCTTTCATTTTCACCATTACCAAATGATTGTCTCAAACCATTTTCCCCAGACTGGGCAGGCTCAGTGTGGACTGTCCAGTGCTGCAGACAATTCACTGGCTGATTTTTTTTTCTCATTTACTGTACCTCATCTTGCTGATACTTACTGTAAGTATCAGTGCTCAATGTTAACACACTGCACATCCTCATCGATGTATTTGATTAACAAATACCACAGAAATTATAGCCAGCGTAAAGACAGAAGGTGCGGCAGCGCATCATTGATATTCTAAACGTCTACTGTTCAATATTTTGTTTCATTAATCAAAAAAGTACCTTATCAAGTTGCTGGTTATCACAATAGAGGCAACCTTTGTATGTTCCATATAAACATATTGAAATTCTTGAATGGCTTAAATGTCTCTCCAACCAAATGGCCAAAACATTTTTATATTTCTAAACAAAACAATCTGTCATAAATCTGCATTTCTTTGATATACTGTATTGCTTGTATTTCCATTTTTTGCCTTTTATTTTAGATAACAATCTTGCTTGACTTTGAAAATGATTGTTCTTTAGTCTTTTTATTGAGACATTTGAGTTTAAAAGTTGATTTTTTTTTTCTTTATAGCTATTGCTCTGTTGTCTAGCAAAAGGTTTTAATAATCTTCTACAACAGCTCAGTGTGTTTCTTTTTGAACATGTATTTCTCATTAGGACATTCCTCATTGTTGTACTTTGCCATCCTTCCTCCTCATCTAAGTGGAGTTTTTTTTCCTATTTTCTTAAATTGATTCCTATGAAGGCGAGCAGAAGTTTCTGTCAATCTTGTAACAAGCATAGTGACAAAACAACAGAAGCATGACCCCATTCTACTACTTTCATTATAGATTTTCAGACTGCTACTTTAATATGAGTAATTTAAGTGTTTTCACATTTCGCCAACGTTAAATCCTCATTTCCACTTCAAGGGCAAAGTGCATAACAAATAGCTCAGCGTCCACCTCGTGCTTATTTCCAACAGCATACTTGAATCTTGGATCTTCATTTCAAGGGTAATTAAATCCTCCCATCACATGCAGAAGGGCGTATGGTTCCTGGTACATTTCTTTAATTATTTAATATTTTTCATTAAAGAGGGTGTAATGGTCCTTTCTTGCCTGTCTGGATGGTTCACTGTAAGTAGTGTGTATAGCACCACATTACAAAAGTAAAATATACATCCACTGTAGAATTTGAACAATGAGGAAAAAGTGCTTCCTCAAGTAGCAGTTTTTTAAGTACTTGAAAACCCTCCCTATACAATTTCCATGGTGTTATTTCAAAGTAGTTTAAGTAGGTACAGTAGTTGTGTCAGTACGCGTAGGCTGCAAAGGAACAAGTAAAGGTTTATTCCTGATTAAAACAGAAGAAAAGAAACACAAAGTCTTGGCTGTGGAGCCTTTCTCGGGTGTTACACCATGCTGTTTTCAGCATGGACTAAACCTTTACTTGTTCCATATTTCAAATTATATTGATTCCTAGAATCTTAACTTAAATATGTATCAGTACCATTCAAAATTACCTCTCCTTATTGTTTATAAGAATAGAAACACCATTTACTTTAAAGAGGCTCTCATCTGTACACTCTTAGTGAATACTACAGGTACTGAAGGGCTCTATGATCAGAAATACAGAGGACTGATCAGACTCTTTTTTCTGTGCACCTGGAGAAATGACAACAGGAGGCAGATGTTTCAGCAGGAGACACGCACTCCAGTCTTCCTTCTTTCTTCTTCTCAACTAACCTGCCTAGGAGCACTGACATTTAAATCTGTTAAACATGCAAGAATGAAACCTTCTTGCATATTAATTCATTGACTCTTGGGTATACTGTAACAGTATGTGAATCATTCCTTTATATTGTTTTTAAAGGAAAGTGCATCAGTAAGAACTGGGTGTGTGATGGAGACAATGACTGTGAAGACCTCTCGGATGAGGAGAACTGTGAGAATTCCATCTGTAAGCCTCCGAAGTATCCTTGTGCTAATGACAGCTCCACATGCCTGCTGCCTGAGAGAATCTGCAACAGGAAGATTGACTGCTCTGATCAGTCTGATGAGGGACCTTTTTGTGGTAATATACTTTATATATTTTATACTGAAGCCACTGATGTCAGTTTTACTTGACCATTTATAAGAACTCACAAACTGAACAAAATTGAAATGTGAGAAAATGTTGTTGTTTATCCTTTGAAAGTATGTCAGGACGCTTGTTACATTTATATCCGAGATCAAATGAGCATTGTGTCCATCTACTGTACCAATATTAAGATGTTCTGGTAGCTGACAGGGTGTTTCCAATTAGTAAATGGATGAGAGAATCCTAATGATATGAATCTAGACATGCCTTTACATAAGTCTTTTCAGGAGCTTTTCTGATGAAAGGAAAGACACTACCAGTAGATTTCTGCATTATGAAAATGATTTTGTACATAACAGTTAAAGAAATATGAGGGCTATATAGGAACTTGAAAAAAGAAAAAATAGATTAATGGAGGATAGACGGATGAATGCGGGAGCTTTTTTTAAAAACGAAAACTACTACACAGAATAACTTTACAAAAGGCATCACAGTATAGTGTTCTGTCTTGGATCAGTAAACTACTGGTACCTGTGATTCTAGAAAGAAGATAATTTGTTATATAAACTTAATTGTTGTTTACAAAAGGTTATGCAGAGTATTACGTAGAGGTAGTAAAAATACAAACTATAGATACAAAATGGGAGATACTAAGCTTGAAAACACTTATTACTACTGTACATTTAAATAAGGGGATATTTTAGAACTGAACATTACAATAACATTATTGATTTATTAGTGATTTGGTCATTACAATTAAAAAAATATTGCTTCTCTGGAATCAGTCCAGTGAAGAACAACCAGATTCTGTACATTCCTGTGCTTCCTATAATGACAGTTAAAAAAAGTTAGACCTTTTTAGCCTTGAAAAGAGAAGACTATGAAAGGTACTCCAAATCCTCAAGGACATTCACAAACGCAAAGCCAACAGTAACACACGAAAAAGAGGACACACGTGTAAACTACAGTACGTGGAAGTGCTTTTAAAGCTGAGGAGAGGAGACTTGTCTTTACCAAAAGGGTTTTGTGGGAATCTGAGACAAGGTGCTCAGCCATGTAATTGAAGTCAGCACTCTGGCTTCTTTCAATCATCAGCTGAATGAGATCTTCAGGATTTGTCATTCAAATTTGAAATTCTGATCCAGAACCTATCACTGTACTGTCTCTTCATAAAAGAGAAATATTTTCAATGGGATAAAGTTAGGACAGCTAAGCCATCTTTCTGCTTTCTTACAGTCCATACACATACTGCATGGCAAGAAGAAACGTTGTGTATTTGGAACCGAAATTACAAGACAGTTTATCAGTTGTGGATATCAAAAGTTTTTCCAACATGTTTGTAAAGGCGTCAGAATTCACTTGACCCTCACGCAAAATGTTTGCCAATGCCTGCTGACGACAGGCAACAACAGGCCATTATGTCTTCCCTGCCAAGTTCTGGCAGATGGAACAATGCTAGCAGTAGTACATGCCTCACCAGCTCATCTTCCTGTGAAGACCGGAGGGATTCCAACAAGGGAGGATCCGAGACTAGAGGCAATTGTAATAGAAGAGGCTTTAAAAGCACTTATAGGATTAGCATGGCATTGTGTATCATCTGCAGGTTATGTTTAACAGCATTAGAAGTGCTTCTGTCTCACTGAAGTGGCTCTGTCCCGTTCCTATTGCCATAGCCCACTTTTTATTTTATCTTGTTAATCTGACACATTTCCTTTAACTTTATCTGTAATGTTTCAACTACTCATTTTTTCTGTTTTGTTCCTTGTCCCCATGTACCATAAGTACACGAATAATGTTCCCTCATAGTTACAGTATATGATATAATATATTCAAGAAATGGTTTGCAGTGCAGCAATTCCGTTGAACACAGTATTCAACATAAGGTGTTATTAGTGCAAATTTAAATATTCCTTGATTTAGCTTTTACATATTTATCATAAAGTTATATTTGCTTCCCCACATTTTCTAGGAGATGAAAATGAAGGGGCCAATATAAACACCTTAGTTTTTATATCAAAACATGCTGTTTGTCTTTTTTATTCCTTCTTTGCTTTTTCTAGATGAAAATGATGTTTTAGTATAATCATCTAAGTTATTCCTGTCTATTCTTCAAACTAGTTTTGGTACCAACTAACCATACCAGAATCTACAGTATATCAGTGATATAAATTAGAATGAACAGTGCTCCCAACACAGATTGCTAATACATGAACTATCTTGCGTCTGGTCAATACTGAGATGACAGCCCCAAAAGATTGCTATTGCTAGTGATATTGGTGGACAAATAGGTGGTAATCTTCCCTTTGGACCATCATTCCCAATCTAATGCCCCAATGTAGTGGCTGAGGATACTGTGTCTTAGTGGATTTCGTCCTCTGGATAAAAAGTTAAGGCAAAATCCTCTCTTCTTGGTCATTGAAGTTTCTATGGCACCGTTTGTAAGAACAGCCCTGGTATTCGTGTGGAACTACAATCAATTCCAATGAATGTACAATCTGGCCTCCCTGACTTTCTCCCTTAATTCAATTGATGAATTAATTTCTCACTTCTTCACCTTCACTGTGCAGTGGGGCTGCTGGGACAGAATGTCTGCTGTGTATCCCCCAGGTGTGGCAGTGCTTCAGTGGTGGATGAATTGGGCCTGCCCCCATGTGTCCTGGTTAACATCCACTCTGGGCATGTACAGCCTGCCTACCTGTGTTCCCCCTACTAATCTACTGTAATTAGTAAAAGAAATCCTCCTTTTTTGCCTGATCTGCTGGCACAGAATGTCTCCCCTATGTCGTCCTTTGCTCTTTAAAGGTGAACGAAACAGATTCCCTCTTGTATGCAAAGAGTTTGCATTTTTTTAAACGAAAAGTTATGTATAAATGAAAGGAATTAATTATCAGTTGTACACTTGTACTGTAAATCTATACTGTACGTTTGAATTAGAAAAAACGCATATGAAGGTTTATGTATGATAATCAAATTGAAAACCTTAAGAGTCCAGTAAGTTTTTATTCAAATTGGGATTATTTTTGGCTGCCTTTTTTTCTGAAAAAAATGTTTCCTCCTAAAGAAGTTCCAAGATCAATATTTTTTTAAACTGAAGTCAAGAAAAAGACAAAAGTGAAAATGTTTAAGCAACGTTCAAGAGATAATTGCTAGAATCTAAACTTCCTGTTTTGAAACACCCATTATATCAATGAGTAATTGTGTTTTCAAACTGAATTTCAGAACTGACATTTTGCAGAACTGAGATAGAATAAATACAGTATATTATTTTTTGTAAATGGGCATTAACGGTACTGGTTATAGTAATTACTACAGGTTGACATGCATAACTGCACAACTACTGTATGAGGAATTCTGGGTATTCTAAAGGAAATTAATCTCTTAGAAATACTTTCACACCTTCAACAGAGCAATGTAAATGAGAACCTTTTGTTATCTTTGTTTGGTTAAAGTGTATATCCAAAGGCAATGGAATTACAAAGTCCAGGACATCATTTAAATCTTGTTACAGATAATGCCAGTCTAAACAGGTCTTGATAATGGTTTGTTGGTGTGTAAATACATTTTATTAGTCTGTGCTCCTTATCAGTTCCATGCTAAATTATATTCAGTAGGTGTTAAAAGGTGCAATTGTTTTCCTATTTTTATCTGGCCTGTAAAAAAATAAAAATAAGCTTGCAGCTTCAGTTTGCACTAATATACTCACATAGTGTAGTAATGCATGCAACAGTGGTGCTTCACCTTCATTACAGTGTTTGTCCTTGGTGCTCATTTATAGTTCCAGTAGTAGTTCCAGTGAAGAGAATGTTTTACTTTGCAGCTGAGAGCCTGCACCAACTCACTTGTGTTGCATAATGGAGCATATCATGAAGAAAGATAAAGCAGGTTCCCTACCCCTATTGTAGATATTTGATAGACCTGTATAAGTTGTGTTAAAGTAAAAGTGTCACCTGGGATTTTACTGGGTATAATCTCTTTCTGTGGGCAGGCAAACATTAGAGTTCATTCAGACAGCATTAGAAGATCTACACTGGGGACTAGAGACCCCTGGAAAGATAAAATTCAGTGCATTATCAGTTGAAATACTCCTCTTCGCCTTTGCCAGTTCATATCCAATTAGATTGTAGACTGAGACCTCCAGAGCTTTGATTAATTCAAGGCAGCACACCAGAATGGCTCTTGGCTGTAGTCTCCTGGTGTGTGTTACTGAGAAATTTTAAGATACTTAACTGCATTCTGTGAAGAACGCTTTTTTATTTCCTTTTAAAAGGGTTAACATAGAGTTTCTGTAAAGACTCTTTGTACAGTATGTATTAAAAGAAATCATAACACACGACCCAATTTTTCCATTTATTTTTCTCTGAATTTATTTTTCTTGACTGCTCAAATGCTAATTGCCTGTGTTCAGTCAAGATCCTGCTGAAACCTTACTAAGATATAAAGAGCACTTAGAGTTATATCTTCTTTGACATTTGGCAGACATGCTTCACAGTTTTGATGTTGGTGGAGAAAAAAAAACTTGAACATGACTCCAACAAACTTTAAAAACATCACAAATGGCATTGATCAATTTAATGAGAGATTAACATGCAGATTTGTGTGAATAGTATTGCCACTCTAACCGATAAAAAAATTATTAAAATACACAATGGTAGAGCCTTTCTTAGATCTGTTAAAAATGTAAGAGAAGGAAGGGAGAAAGGTGGGTAGAGAAAGCACAGAGAGGGAATGGTTGGAGTTTAAGGGACAGGAACAGTGAGAAAGCAAGAGCAAAAAAACAATCACTGAATAAAAAGGTTTTAGCTTTTAATCAGAGTTACCCAATCCCATAGAATGGGGGATTGTGCCAACTCAGTCTAATGATTATTTTGGACTCTAATATTTGTCTTGCACAGAGGCCTTTGAATTCACATGAAAGGGTACATACAAAAGGATTATTTTGATAATTGAGGGAGGTAAAATGTTTGAGTGTTGGCCAGAAGAGATCTTAGATCGTCACTGCTTCGACCTGAAAAAGGTTGCCGTAATTTTTTTCTTGTTTGTCATTGTGCTTCTACAAGAAATGTAATAGATGAGATTACTGCACAAGCATGGGGCCCTCTGGCCATATACACTGTGTACTGTATGTGTGCACCATTGGAAGTGTGTTTATAATTAATACAGAAGCTGTGAACAGTTAATAGAACTGAAGACAAGAAGATTTTGTTGACTACAATGTAATTAGCAATATGACATGATCAGGATTTTCTGGGAAAACAAGTTATTAGTTGAAGATTGATCTGTGGTGTGACGAATGGAGACATTTTGCGAGACAACCTTAGGTGCAGAGATGTTGTTTAGGGTGGAATGTGGGGGTAGTTGGAATTTAGATCTGGGTGGGTGTTCCTTGTGGGTGTGATGCTATTAGTGTTATTTTTTAGGTGGAGGACTACATTTTGAAGACTTTCTGAAGACACAACTCACCATTGCATGCATGACAAAGTCTGAGCAATTGTGAGAAAGGGAGAGATTTCCTAAATATTGGTATTAAAGATATTATAAGGAAGATGACTGTGTAGACCAATGACTTTGTAATACAGTACAGTATGTGGATGTTTTCAGATTTGAGTAGCTAAGTGGCATATCTTGGTAAATCTGAGTGGTGGAAGAAACATCAAAAGTGTTGCAGAACTTCTTTTAATTAGATTGCTAAAGCAAGTATGGTACCAACATAGACATTAATGTATCATTTGAAGAGCCCAGGGATGAAGCCCAGACTCTCCCATGATGCTGTACTATACTGTATGTATGCAATTTAGGAAGACAATACCAAGATTCCTTTCTTTTCTAATTTGTATATTTCATTAATTTACTCTTCGTGTGGAATGGTGACTGCAATGATTTCAGAATACCTTGGACAAAAATCAGTACCCTGAGAGAGGTTGGCCGACCTCTCTTTTAAAATGTGTTACTCTAATTTGGGACTCTAGAGAATGTTCCTTTTTTAGATACAATAGCTGATGTGGAACTCCTATTAAAGAGGCCCTGTATCTCTACTTCTGATCTTTCTGACTTGAGGTTCCATGCTGTTTTTCCTTTGTTCGCTTAGGCTGTTAGGAAAGTGATGTGATTGCGGTAACAATATTGGAACACCCAAAACCATGCTGGGTCAACTGCAGAGGTGCACCTTCCTCTTTCAAATCTGGTGAATTAAAGTACCCAAATCTACACACGTGTACATTTAGCATTAATTACAAAGATCTTATTGCACTCTAATTTATTAAAATCCTGCCATCTTTTTAAATTCTGAAGGTCAATATTTAAGATTCCAGAAATAGGTTATACAGTATAACCCTTTTTCACTCCATCCAAGCACAAATGTAATACTGTATGTTGAAAGCACACAATTTAAAAGTGACCCTGGGAAGCTACAGTTTAAAAGCTGTTTGCACTCAAATGTTGAATTTCATACTATTATACTGACTAAAAATAATACAAATTAGAATACCTACAGTAGGTAACGTAAATGTTTTAGTAGAGGATGAATCTGTAACAGTCGTGTATAGAGTTTGTAACCAAAAAGCAATTAATGTTAGATGTTTTTGTGCAATGGAAACTAGATATCATTCTCTGTTGAAATATTCATACTTTGCAATTACTTTAAAAATAAATATATGCACACAGTGTATACTTTTTATCTGCTGTGTATACTAGGCAGGGAGTATAAACCATTATTATGCATGACTGGCCACCCTGATGAACTGGCAGGAACAAGGACAAAATAGGTTTAGCAGTCTTATGTATTCTGACAAACACAAATTGCATATATATTTTCCCCAAAGTCTGCTTTTAATTTTCTTTCACCTGTATAAGATGTAAGAGTGTCTAAGAAGCAAGGGCTGAGTTCTTCTTTGATGTTGATAATGTGGAAGAGACAAAAATGTATTAGCAGATGTTATGCTCTATGTATTGTCTTGTATGTCTCCTACTATTCTTAAAGGACTGATGGTTTAGCTAGACAATCGGCCTCTAAGAGGTCTTTTTTAGATACCAATCTTAGCAATGGCTAAAAATGTAAGACATACACAGCGTTGCCACCTTCACAGCCCCTTTAGCCTCCTCTAAAACAAATTTAAGGGAGAGCCTTCCTGACAAGTTGCTGCAAGTGGATGACACACAGCTTTTTGTGTGCTTTTTTATGTTGTCAAACAACACAACTTATCAATTTTCTGCAGTGAAGTTTTTTTTTTTCTTCAGTAGAGTAATTTAAGGTCTATGGCGTACCTGATTGTCCTTTTCTCCCCCCCAGATGAATGCTCTCTTGACAATGGTGGCTGCAGTCATCAGTGTGCCATGGCTCCAGGGAAGGGGATCGTTTGTTCTTGCCCTGCGGGACTCCATCTCAACCCAGACAACAAAACCTGTGATGTGGTGGATTACTGTACCAAGCACCTCAAGTGCAGCCAAGTGTGCGAGCAGTACAAAACCACTGTCAAGTGTTCCTGCTATGATGGCTGGAGCCTCAGTCCTGACGGGGAGAGCTGCTACAGCACTGGTAAAGTGTTTTGTCCGATTACTCTTCCTTGTCAGAGTGGACTCCGAGGCTTTTTTTCTTACACAGATGAAATAAACGTGCTGAACTGAAGCCGTAGGAGCAACAATGATCATGGCAGCATAGCTAGTGACTTAATCTGATTTCTGCTGCATCCACTGGGTCTGTAAGCTTTCTACTGAAGAGAAAGCAAATCATAGCAGCGTCCATGTAAATACTGTATCCAGTGTTTGTAATTTGGGGTTGATGTTACAGGCAAAGCCATTCAGTATAGCTCTGTGATCATACAAGCCTTGCTGCTATTTTTGTGGACAAGAAGATGATTTTGAAGGTTATACATACAGTATATATTATAGAATTAATTTATATGTACTGTAAAATCTTCAGTTTTATTCAATGTTTCAATAGTTCAATCAGTTACATATTCTATCTGAATCCATCCTTACCCATATCAGTGTTTATAGTTACTTTGGTTTCAGAGAATTTATTTTATTCAAATACTTTTTTCTACATTTCTTGAAATCTACTGTTCTTCCTTATTCCTTAATGCAAGTATTCAGTTGACTAAACAGGAGATATGAATCACATTCTTTACAGATGAAAAGCCGGTACTATGTTCAGCTGTATCTTTTTAAATGAGTGGCAGTTTAACCACCTGTAGCCTAATCTCATCAAATGTCAGAGCCATAGCAAGTCTGGGCCTCGTCAATACTGAGGGGAGACTTCCAAGGACATCCAAGTGGTGCTGGGGTAGCGAGATGGTGCTCTTCCTGCTGGAGCACCAATCCCGAGCCCCAGTATTGGCACCACTGTAGGAAATGCTATCCTTTGAATGGGATGTTAGAGCAAAATCCTGAATCCTTGGTCATTAAAGATCCCACGGCACTATTCGTGAGTCGCCTCAGCGTTGTAGGTAAATTCCAATCAATTCTAATAAACATACAGTGCAACTGACCTCCCTAAAGTCCTCCTCTAATTCAAGTGACGAATTCATTTTCTCACTTCTTCACCTGATCTGCAGTGGGGCTGCTGGGACAGAACGTCTGCCCAGGTTGATGACACACTTCAGTGATGGATGAAATGGGTCCTCCCCTGTATGTAAAGCACTTTGTGTTTGATCCGGGAGAAAAGTGAATAAATGTTGGGAGTCATAATTATTATTAATATTTAACTCCCTTGCAATAGATGAAGTGCTCTCAAATGGTATTAGAAGCCTGTCTGGATGGCTTGACTAAAGACATCCCACTAGGACAAAGGTTCATAGTTACCTCCTTATCTCTACTATTTAAGAGACAAGAAATATTTCACAGAGATACAAGTTACACAATGGATATGTATCTGGAATATAAATTACTGGATTTGAGAACAATTATTTTAAGGGTTTTTCCCCGGGCTACACAGTTACAGCTGGCAGATTTAGAAGGTGATGCTGTGCAGTCTTAATTCTCTTGGTAACTGAGGCCCGGATTAAGTGCGAAGTTTGATTCACATGTCAGTTAGGGATGACAAGAACATCATTCATGACAGATTCCATTGGACAGGAGGCTCAGGCAAACAGCAAGCCAAAACCATAGCAGCTTTAGTTTGTCATTTTCACATTTTACAAAGTTATAAACCTAACAAGGAAATGAATCAGTGTAACACAAGTCGTGCACAATATGACAGTACTTTTAAATTTTGCAGCTTAGTAACTGTTATTTGTTCTCTCTTTCAGATCCTTTTGAAGCTTTTATTATTTTTTCCATCCGCCATGAGATCAGACGGATAGATCTTCACAAGAGAGACTACAGCCTGCTAGTTCCAGGTTTAAGGAATACCATAGCTCTTGACTTCCACTTTAATCAGAGCTTACTTTACTGGACTGATGTTGTCGAAGATAAAATTTATAGAGGGAAGCTCTCTGATACTGGAGGTATGGGTTGTAATAGATCTTGGTCACCCTTTTGAATTGGAAACCAAGTCTTAATGTTTTTCTACAGGAACTTTGTTTTCACTGGCGTGGGATGTGTGTTCTGTACAGTGAGTATTTTTATATAAGGAAAAGAAAATACATTGTATATATTCAAATATGAATTCATATTTAAGAATTCAAATGAAAACATCAGGACGGGTGGTGAAGTCACCGCTATTCCAGTAGGCAGGAAGGGTGGTATTGGTGGGAGCTCCTCACTGGTCCAGGAGTCCAGAGTCAGAACTCATTATCAGTCCCAGAACATGTGCTGGAAATAATAGCATTCTAAACTTCTTGTACGTTTCATCATTCTTCATGTACTGTATTCACACAAGGGAGCACATCTGCTTGTATTTGGGGCCATATCTTTTAACAACAGACTTGGCAACATAGTAACTTGGCAACATATTATGAATTAGAGAAAAAAGGTTATCTGCACACATGACCCCTCTTTTAAATTGCAAAAATGTCTTAATATTTTTACAGGAAAAAGATCTCTTTTTTTAGGAGGATGTAAGATTTGATTCTGTGAAAATTATATTAAAGTTATTTATAGCAAGATGTGTAAGCTATAGAGTGAATAATACAATTTGCATCAGACCTTTAAAGGTCTTAAAAGGTTATATCAAATTATGATATTTAATTTGATAGGACGAAATAAATGCTTATCTGTGTATGCTTATACATGCTTATATTGGAACATTACAAAATCCTCAAATGGGTGCTGAAGTTGAATTTGTTGGATTGCAAAGATTCTCTGTATATATTAAACACAGAGAGACAGAATGTTATTAAATGGGAGATTAACAATAATAGTTAAATATACTGTATGTTTGAGACCCGAGAGTTTAAAAACAATTTCAGTGGAGAAAAAAAAATCAGTGGAGCTGATTACTCTGTTTTTTATAAATGTTTGTAATTGCTTCCACAGTCAACAGCACACCCTCCTGTAGTTTGCTCTTATTTTGAGTACAAGAATAGATTCTTGTATAGCTTTTTTTTCATTCTGTTAATATTTTAGATCTTGCTGAAAGCCTTCAGTGCCCAGGGTCGATTGCAGAAAGCCTGATTATATAAAGTCAGAGAAATCTTTAATGTTTAATAGAATGCTTGGGGAAGTAGAGGGTCCTTTTTTCAATTTATTTTCCACAGGAGCTTGACATTTTCTGGAAAATATCTTTCAGAAAATCTGCAAACAAGATTTTGGGATTAATTTTAGCTTGCTTGTAAAATGAGAATCGAGATTTCAAAAATTGAAAGGTTGTCTAAGTGCTGGGCTGTAGAGGGCTCTTGTTATTGAAGAGCTCTCCTGCGATGTTGCAGGTGTGACCGGAATCGAAGTGGTGGTGAAGCATGGCTTGGCGACCCCAGAGGGCTTGGCTGTGGACTGGATTGCAGGAAACTTTTACTGGATCGACAGTAATCTGGATCAGATTGAAGTGGCGAAGCTGGATGGAAGCATGCGGACAACATTAATTGCCGGGGGAATGGAGCACCCGAGAGCAATAGCCTTGGACCCTGGCCATGGGTGTGTTCATGCAGTGTTCACTGTGCTTGCATTGCTGAATTGGGTTTATTATTAGTTAAGTGTGCCTTTTAGAACTGCATAAAATTCTTCTGCTATCTCAGTTCTCCGAATGAGGTGAATCAACACTAATATGAAATGAAAACATTAACTACAGCCCTTTCTGTTCCCCCATTTCAGTTCTTGTTGGAGGCTGCTGTATCAGGATGTTATTAAAGAATATGTAATGGGGGAAAAAGCTGAGGTCCTGAGGAAAAACAAAATTGGTTAGCCACTCTACTAAGTAACTATAATATGTGCAGTGCTCAAATTACGAAGTAGTGATAGCTTACCATAAAATACATGTTCACATGTATAATATTGTACAATACAGTATTGTGGTGCTGCTCTTTACAGTTCTTTACAGTGAAGGTTTAACACTGAAATGCAGTGAGAGGATTATTATCTGTCTAATAATCAGTTATACATTTTACCTCTGCAAGCTAAGGTTGTATAATGCAATGCTAACCACTGAAAAATAATACTTAAATGGTTACAATTTTAGGCTATTTAGGCACAAATTATTCTGAAAACAGTCACAGAAATGATTTAACGGTAAGGAATATGGGTAAGTGTGATGAAAAAATAATTAAATTGGGTAATTTTACTAAAAGAAGAAAAAACACTAGAAATGCAGGAGATACAATATCTGTGATATTCCTAGAAGTGCAACAAAATAAATTATGGAGAAGCACCAGTGAACAGGTACAATCAGAACCCTGACAAGCTCTGAGAGGCCTAGTAAAGCCTTGGTAAAAATAGGGAGACAAATTGCCTGGGAGACTCAAAGCCCACAGATTAATGGCCAAGAGCCTGCAGGCTGATTTATCAGAGTATGGGGGCCTAAGGTCATTGGACCACAGTACAAAAATACCTCAACAGGCAGACATTAACCATATTAACCAAGCCTTTCCTCAAGACAGCACACAAAACGATGCATGTAGGTCACATACAGTACACAAGTTTTGACAACATCGTATGGTCTGATGAGTAAAAAATGAGAATTGTTTGAAAAGCTCAGATCCAGTGTCATGCAGAGATGGAGAGGAAAGGCCAACACTAAAAGATTAATCGCACTTACTGTCAACCACGTGGATGGTTCAGTAATGATGTGTACAGTACCTGCTTTGCGCCTTCAGGGAATGGAAACTTTTACATGATGGAAAGGAGACTAAATTGCAGCAAACTACCAAGACGTGCCAATGCCTGAAATGATACACAGATACAGCATCCTCAGTGGACATACCTGATGCATGACATGACAACAATGAAAACACAGCACAATAACAAGTCCATTCACAGCTGTCACCTGACCTGGATCCAAACAGATATTATTGGTGGATGTCAATGAAACCTTAGTTGCTAGGAAAATTATCCATTTGAATGCACTTAAAGTTGCTCACAGGACACAGGAGAGATGACAACAGCTATCTATAACAGGACACAGTGCACTGAGCATGTTAAGAACTGATATCATCCTCCTAAAATACAGGCAGGGTCGAACTCTGCCACTTTACAGGACAGGTTCTTGTGGTGTACCTAAATTAATGTTTTTTAGAGGGTGGCGCTGTGTGTGCTCCGAGCATGTAAGAGGCCAGCCCCGATCAAATCCCAGCAGAGACAGAGAAAAGCTACGCACATTACATAGCCATGACCTGGATTTCACAGGCTATCTATCAGTCACTGTGGTTTGATGTGGACAAGTAAAAGTGATTTAAAAGGGGAGAATGTAATAAGGATCAGACCTCTGAGCATGACAGGCCTACAGAAGGCACCCCTTGAAATATGATAATAGTGTTGAATTGTGCCTGGGCAGAAGACCAAGGGTTGTGATGAAGCAGAATTCACTCTGTCTTGGAGGTTCTGTGTTGCCAGCGACCATAATGGAACCCCTCTAAGGGGTGGAGCAGCACCACATGTATTTAATTTATCAAACAGAAAATATCATTGTATGCAGTCATTCAAAAACTACTGCCAATACAAACAGTCTATTCAAAATTTCTTTCATATAAAGTGTGAAAGGACCAAAGTCATGCTTCTCGGCACCTCCCATCAACTATATAAAGCCAATGCAGTAACATACAGTAACTATGGATGCCACTGTACTTGAATTTCAATCTATATCAAAGAACTCAGTGTTGATATTTGATCGAGGCTTGATGTTTGACCCACACATGCAAAATGTAGTAAAACCATCATTCTTCTATCTCAGAAGTATTGCCAAGCTACATCCTATGCTGTCTCCAACTGTAGCTGAAAAGCTGGTTGACACATTCAACTTTTCTAGAAATGATTACTGTAACACCCTACTCGCTGGGGTATCTAAATCCACACTGAAAGAAATTCTGTATGTCGCAGCCAGAATCCTGACCAGGCCGTGTGCAAGGGATCACATTACTCTTGTTATGGTGTTCTTGCTGTGGCTTCCTATAGGGTTTCCTGTTAAATTCACTGCAGTCTAAACCTTTGTTTTTAATTGTGTTCCACTACCTTGGTTTTCTTGCTTTAAAGTGTTTTTAGTAGTTACTTTTGAAGGCTTTACATAAAATAAAGTTTATCACTAAATTATACATTGAACTTATTTATTTTTTATAATGGAGAAAAAAAAACAATTGCAATAAGAAATTTGAGAACAATGAGATTATTGAGCCACGTCCCTCACCACAGCCAGATTAGCTACACACCTATCATAGACCCAAAATACAATCAAATAAATGTTTGAAATGATCTCCTGTTCACCACTTTTATGTTCTTACTATTAGATAGTCCAATCTTAGTGCTAACTGGAGTCTAGGAAATTGTGGTTTAGGATTATCAATTGCTGTCTAAGTATTATTGATCTAAAAAAAATTGACTGCTGCACTTGGCACATTTTTGCAGTGAACCAAGGAATACCTGTGGACTAACTACAACATTGTTATAAAGAAAAAAGGGAATAAAGGGCTCATAAGATCTAGAAAAGACTGCTGTTAAAAGCACAAGACCTCATGTTCTTGTTTGGACTTGTATGACTGTCAGTGTGGACTGATTAACTGTATGATGGGGATTCCAGATTGTAGGCTTCTGCTAGAGGAAACACAGATTGCCCAGTTGAATGTCTTGGCAATCTTTTCTATATACAGTACACCTACAGTATAAACACCAATGAGGTTTAAGCATCTTGAATGATTTTTGTTCTGAAAACTTCTTGTGCCAAATGATAAGCACTTTGTGCTAGGCATGTATATTGGTTCTCTAGGTCTTTATAGGCTTTGCTCCTATTAAGTCTTATATAGAGAGAACATAACATAACATAAAATTACTTTTCTCTTATTTTCACAATAAACTTTCTATTTTGGATTTTTTTTGTTTTTTTATTCGTGAAAAAAAAACAGTGTACCTGATGAGCTACTTGTAAAAATAACGTGCTAGCGCTGACAGCCTACCCTTCTTTGCTAACAGCCAACTCGAAGGTCTCCCCAAGTGGGAGTTGGTTGTCTTCCAAGGGAAACACAAGGAATCCCCATATCACACAGAAAACTAGGTTGTCTAAAAGCAACTGCAACAATGAGCTGTAGATCAGAAACAATGGGAGGGCAGCCTTAGTTACAGTACTTATAAGATCTGTTTCTCATCAGCTGAATTTTAGATAAAATGCTGAGTTACAAATAACTGTTGGAGTGCAAAGCCATAAACAATTCAACAATAGTCCAGTGTACAGTATAAAAACATCAAAAGTATTATATTTCGAAAACCATTACAAATATGTAGAAAAACTGACTAAACTATTGTACAGTACATTCATTGTGCTGCACTATAATATTATGAAATGAGATCCAGATGCTCCAGACCTGAGAAATGCAAGAGTGAGAAATGCAAGAATATTATTGTTAATATTAATGCTGCTACCCGCTGAGAAGAGACAAAAGAAAATGTATACATAATAGTTGTGATACACTATAAAGAAGTGGTATTTGTTAAAATAGGTATTCATCAAAGGTGGCTTTAACCAGCTCTTTTTTGTTTAGAATTCTTTTCTGGACGGACTGGGATGCCACATTCCCACGAATCGAAGCAGCCTCAATGAGCGGCGTTGGACGGCGGATTGTTTTTAAAGATATGGAAATGGGAGCATGGCCAAATGGACTTACCTTAGACCACCTTGAAAAGAGAATAGTGTGGACAGATGCTCGGTGAGCAATTACCCTTTTAGTGCTAAAGACAGAAACAATGTTAGAATGGACAGAAACTTAACTATAATCTAAAATATTACACTAAGAATCTTAGCACTCTGGAAGTTTTTAGAAACATAATGTGTTTTATTTTTAATAGTGAGTAAGTGTTTTACAATCCACATGACTTTGTTGCATAAGCACTAAATATCCTCATAGTGAGAGAGTCGACTGGGCTTGGGTGATGAGGCAATTTAATGTGTTGAATGTTAAATCCACTAAAATCAAGAAAGAAAAACACAGAAAGGTACCAATACAGTATGTCCCTCTTGTAAAGAAACTGTACCTTTGTGCCAACAGTATATTGGAAAACTACCTTGGAAGAACACCAGTGAAGCCAAGTCTTCCTTAGTGATGAATGAAGGTTTTGAGTAGATCACACTGATGGATGTCAGTGAGTGTGGTGATACTTTAATTGATGTATACAACAGACCAATCGAGGGAAAGGTCCATGTGTCTTGGTCAGAGAAGGAGTGTCTGTTCTCTACAGAACTCTACTTGCAGTGATTGATGGCCACTGGATTGTAAAGCTTTACATTGGTACACTTGCTGTCTTTCCTGTGAGCTCATCATGAAATGTTGACCTGATAGCATTCCAGAGGTACCCTGTACATTCTACATCCTCATGCTGCTTCAGTAACAATGGCTTGTGAGCTGAGAATGTGACAGATATGCCACAGATGTCCTACTGTAGGTGCTAGAATAAGCTCCATTGAACACTTGTGGGATGAGCTGGGCTCAGAGACCAGTGGACAATCGCATGGCTTTCCAGGCTTTACTTGAGGAATGGGACAGAATCCCGCAAGACCACATCTGCAAACCAGTGCAAAGCAAGCAACACAGTAGCAAGCTTGTATTGTTTGCAATGTCGGACATACTGTACATGACTACCAGTCTATAAGTTCACAGTGATCAGCCCTCTTGATAAGAGATAGTTGTGAGCCTAATGAATATGTCTATATCATCTCCGTTCAATAAAATATTAATGCACTTGCTGCAAAAATATTTTGTCATTTTTCCAATAACCTGTTCCGATTTAATTTCTCGCAGTTATAAAATATAGGTTTCTTTTAAAGCTTTTGTGTACGTACAGTATGTTATGCATCATTAAAAATAAAAGGAACAAACTGTACTTAATGCAGACATCCACATATAAACTGGAAGGTGCTACAACAGGTGGTGCTGTTTTTACACAGTCTGCAGACACTATGATCATTGACATATTTGAGCCTACCAGTCTTGAATCTCCTAGATGTGTGAGCTAGTTAATGAGATGTACTGTATTCACAAGGAATGTGACAATGAGAAGCTAGGTAGATTAAGTGATGGAAACATTACCTGCCTACAGTACATAAGTATTAACTTTAATTTAGATTTCAGTGGAGCTAAATAATCTGGCAAGTTTATATGACATATGCATTCATTATGACTTGGAAGATCTACTGTAACTACCGTACAAATATATTTCTGCATCTGTGAGTTGTTTTGATAAAGAGGCTCAATTTATTTCCTTCAACACAGGAGTTTATAGCTCAAAATATAATGCACATAGATAAACAAAGGGACAATTAACCTAAATAAGCCTTTCATGAAGAATAGCACACTCAGTGAAAAGAATGAGTCTGATACTGTATATGATTTCTGTACCTGCTGTGTTCAAAACCATGCATCCAATATTTTAATATAAACGGAAATTAATCCTTGTGAATGCATGTTTTTTTAAGAGTTTACTTGCTGTTTTGAAAATGCAATCATATAATTCTAATACATTTTCCTACAACAGTTTCTTGTCAGTAGCTCAACTGACAAGGAAGTAAATGAGTTCTGTGAAATTTCACAAAATCATTTATCATTGCTAGTGTGAAGTGTCAGCAATGCCTTGTTTGTAGGATTCCCTTTTGATATTGGGGTTTTTCTTCCAACAGGTCCGATGCCATTTATTCCGCCCAGTACGATGGCAGTGACATTCTAGAGATCCTGAGAGGGCACGAGTACCTATCACACCCCTTTGCTGTGTCCCTCTTTGGAGGCAATGTGTACTGGACTGACTGGAGGACCAACACTCTGGCAAAGGCCAACAAGTGGACTGGCCACAATGTGACAGTGATTCAGAAGACTAGTGCTCAGCCTTTCGACCTGGAGATCTTCCATCCCAGCAGACAACCTCATGGTAAGCAAGTACAGTATGTGGCCACCTTTCCTGCAGCTAAGGAATACCTAGAGGAGGAAGAAAAAGGCTCACAATTGTAACTGAGGATTGATTTAATTAAAAAGCAGCCTTTTACCTGTTTTTTTAGGTATATATTACAGTTAAGTGTATTGGAATTGAAGAGTCTGTTAAATCTGAATGAATATGAAACATACAGTATATTGAATCAAGCAAATTGTTTCCTCTTCTCCTGTTATTGTTTTCTCAGTCCTGAAGTTTTGATCAGCTTGCATTCATACAGTACAATCACGCTGTTAGAAAATAAATCAATGGGAAGTTTTTTTTCTGAAAAAAAAATATTGACATCTCTCCAGTTGACTCCTTTATCAAAAATAATTCTTATAAATGAAGGGCGATGGGAAAAAATATTGTAAAATGCCGAAACATAACTGTATGAATTTCGATAGTTCTGTGCAGATACAATTGAACAATAAACAGAATGCAACACAGAGAATACAAAATATACACTTAACAGATGGATTTGAGAGAATAAAGGAGAAAATCTAGTTTGTTTAGTGTTGTGCAGTTATGCTTTTCTGGTGAATGTTGTGCTTTGGTTCTAAGTGATACTTAGGAAACTTTACACAGTAATGAAAGTCTTACCTTTTCATGTTGTTCTCAAACCTGTTGAGGACTGTGACTATCTAAAATATATAAACCATGTGTTAGATATACATTACTCTCTGGTAAGAATCCAAATCTCAGATTGAAGTGTTGTTCTAAACAGATATTGTTATCAAACTTCAAGCCCAGGAACAGGACACGTCATGTCTTGAGCTATGCACATTTCACCACTTTATCAGATCTTAAGCTTCTTCTGTAAGAAGAAAAGGATTTCTTGTATAATGTGTATAAGACTAAAACACAATTCAGACAGCTGAAAGAATGCTACAGCGCAAGAACCCAGGATCTGAATTCCAAGACAGATGTAAATATTTATCCTGTGACCTTGTTTGAAGGATTAGAGAAGCTTGAAGTCACCTCTCTTTCCTATTTAAACTCTGTACACAACCAATGCATTTGTTTTGTGTGGCAAAACATTAATTACTATAAAATACTTCCTGATTCTTATTTTATAATGACAAAGTTACAAATGCAGTGTTCATTTGGTCATTTTGTTAAAGGGAAGATTTTTAGTGTCATTATCCTTGAAAAAGATTTAGGTCAGAAATACAGCTTACTTCTCATAAGGACTCTTTATTGCCCTAATAGGTTTAATTTATCCTTCTTGGAATGATGAGTGAATAAATTATGTCAAATTGCAAAAAAATAGTTAGATCATTCTTTGATTTTGTTCCAGCTTGGTATTCCTGAGAGCTTGGAACTACCAGCTGTTAAACCTAAAATCTCCATTTGCATAATTCTACAAGTAGACCTTGATTACTTTATTTTGGCAACTTGCAAAGTTTAATTATACATTTATTATTTTTCAAAAGGTTTAATACAAATTATTAAATTGTGTTAAAGGCTTTTAATGGCCATTACTATTCAAAAGTAATAAAAGTAAATTAACTGAACTGTTTAATCCATTTGGAGTTGTCTGTTACAATAAAAAATCATTTGACCTCAGTTAAAAAATAGAGAATGACATTGTGGTTCAATTATTTGAATAACATGATGCTTGTTTGAAGAACAAAGGTACTATCAGAAAAGAGATGAAAGAAAGTGCTTTGCAGGTTTCCAGGCTACATTCTGTACACATGCTGTGTTTTTGAAAAAGGCTTGAATCTTGGTCTTTTCAAAGCTGTTTGATATTTGCTCTTCATTTGTACTGTGGATCTGCCACTTCCCCTTAAAAACCACTGGATGTGAGTCTGTTCTTTCACTGAGTGTTTTTGTGCTGAAGGCTTTGGTGAGTATTCAATTTTTTTCAATGTGTGGCATCCCAGAATGAAAATAAATTTTAAATGTGGGTATCTAATTGTGGGTATGTAATCCACAGTGCTGCTAGGATCACACCAAAAATGTTTCCAGATTATATAGACAAAACATAAGCAAGTTTTGCTTTGGTCACTTGCTGCACAAACATTTAATCTATAATGTATATGGGACAGCAGCTGGGTAGTAGAAAATTTCTTGAATCCAGAAACTGAGTTTTACAATAGATGCAAAGGTTTCTCCTGTGACTTTGTTTGAAGAGTCAAAGAAAGAGAGGTCATCTCTCTCTCTCTTATTTAACTCCTGTACATACAATGTATTTACTATTAATACAAAACATTAATTGCCATATAAGTTCAGGTGGGTAGCTGCGTCAGCATGCGTAGGCTGCAAAGGAACAAGTAATATGTTTATTCCATGCTGAAAAGAGAAGAAAGAAAACACAATGTTCCAGTCGTGGAGCCTTTTTCAGGTGTGAGAAAGACAGGGCAGTAAGCAAAGGTAATGTAGCAGGAGAACAAAAGCTGGGAGAGAGGAGGAGCGAGGGGCGGGAGCAGAGGACAGAAAGAGAGGCCAATCAGGAGGTATGAAGTCAGGATAGGTGAAGAGGGGTGTGAAATGAAACTTTCAATGAATGGAGAGAATTTAGAAGAAAAGTAGTCTGTCGTTAAGAGAAGGGGGAAGGTGTGATCCTAGCTGCAGGATAAGTTTGGTTTCGGTAGTCTTTCTGATGTACTGTATGAGTTCGGAAAACCGTCTTTGAGAACACAGACGGAGAGATTAGAGTGGTCATGGCCGTCGGAGGTGAAATGAGAAACAATGGGCTGGGAGAAATTTTTAATCTTCACTGCCCTGACATGTTCTCTGAAGCGGCCTCCGAGTCTCCTTCCTGTTTCTCCAATGTAGATGGCTGGGCATTTACTGCAAGAGATGAAGTAAATAAGCCATTTGCCATTTGGGTGATCCGGAATTGTCCTGAGGGGCCTTGAATGAATGTGGTGTTAGATGTGTATTTGAAGGTGATACAGCGAGTTCTGTTGCAAGGGAAAGTGCCTGGTGTGGATGGTCAAGGGAGCTGTGAGCAAGAAGGTCACACAGATTAGGTGGTCGGCGATATGAGATGATGGGGCAGTCAGAAAAGAGGGCCCCAATGAAGGGATCATCCTGTAGGATGGAAAAGTTGTCGTTAATAGTCCTGGGGATAGGAAGTGTGTTGGGGTGGTATGGAAGCACCAAAGGAATGCGGTTGTTATGGTGGGAGTTCCTGATTGAGTTGATGGTCCGAGGGGTGTTTTTGGCTCGGGCAAGGGCACTGTCAATAACACTGCTGGGGTATCCTCTATTGATGAAAAAAGAGTACATTTTGAGGGCTTGGTTCTGGAAATAGATGTCGTCGCTGCATAATCGGGTTTTTAGTGTGTATGAGGTGAGATGAGCTATACAGGAGATAGCTGTGTGAATCTGTGAGTTTGCAATAGACCGAAGTAGAGAGTCAGGGGTGGTTAATGGAGAAGTTGATGTCTAGAAATGGAAGAGTAGTGGAAGTGTTAACTGTTTATTTGAGGGATGGGTGGAAGTTGGTGAAATGATGCAGAAAGTGCTCAAGCTGGTCGTTAGAGCCTTTGGCAGCACATGACACAGTCATGTAACGCTTCTAGAGGTCAGGGACATAGCCAGTGTAGGTAGCAAAGAAGTGTTCTTCTACCCAGCCGACAAAATTAATGGCATGGCTGGGTCCCATTCTGGTGCCCATGGCAACTCCACTAACCTGTTGGTAAAAAAGGTTATTGAATGATAATGCATTCAGTGTGAGGACCAATTCTGCAAGGCATACCAGGGTGTGGGTGGGTGGATCAAGCACTGTGTGTTTGTCCAGCATGTGCTTGAGGACTGTAAGGCCGTCATTATGGGGAATGATGGTGTAAAGAGATGTGATATCCATGGTAAAAATATAGCATTCGGGGCCCTAAAATTGGAAATCATTAAAAAATTGCCATATTATGCTTTCTAATTATTATTTGATAATGACCACAAGTTACAAAGGAAGTGTTCTTTTGATTTTCAGGTATATTGTCCTTGAACAAACTTTAGTTCAAAAGTTCATATTCATACAGAAGTGAGAAATTACTTCACTCATTGAATTTGAATTTGAATTTGAATTTGGTTAGAGAGTCAGTGGTATGCATGAAATTTGTCTGTGGCCATCAGTTAAAACTGATCAGCTGGTGGCTGGCCATTTACATTAAATATAAATCTAAAATTTTGATACCAAACCCTCAACCTTATATTTTACAATAAGCTGAATCACTTGATGGTCAGCTCTAGCAGTTAGCAAAGGAGCAGTTAACTAAAGAAGAAATGTTTGTCTATCACTTTTTCTGACTTCATTACAAACACACATACTGTACAGTGCATACTGTACAGAGGTGTAATTTCTTTTGTTGTGCTGTTGGTTTTATTGAAAATGCTCTTACTTCCTTGTGTTTACTCAAAATGCTCTATATCAGTTTATTTTTCTGCAGTAGAAATGAACTGTTGGCTTTGTGATGCCAGCAGCTGTAAGATGACAGATGTCTTTTTTTTAAGTTCCAGCAATCTGAGATTGTGCTGCACAGATAAGTAAAAACAAATTAGTCTGCGTGTCTGTGGATGCCAATAAGCACTTCTACTCCACTTTTAATGTCCCAGTGGTAAAAAAGCATATTAATTAAATCCATGTCACATATTCACTTTTATTTATTTGATTTACATTTTGAGTTTTTTGTCTGATTCTATTTTGAAAACAAGCCTTAACACTGAACTGCAAGAACCGTTCTTAATATGCAACACCAGTTTTTCAAGTAATCTTGTATTCTGAGAGCAGGATTCAGATTTTAACTGGGTGTTTACAAGCTATGCCTTTTTCATCCCTGGAAGATAGCAATTAAGATTGAACAAGAGCTACTCTCAGCTGGTCCTAAGCTTGGCTTTTATCTCCATGATCGGTGAGAAATGAAAACTTTCCCTTTTATGAATGAATGTGTTTGTGGATGGAAATATAAGACACCACAGCTGGTTTTGAGAAGTCCCATCAGGTCACCTTATGAGTCCAGCCTCTTGAAGACTTCAGCATCTTTTGTTGTCAAAAGCAGAACTTGGATGGAAATACTGTAAATAAAAGTCACTGACTGTGGAAAGCCTGTGTTTGATCGTTATGAATTGGTTATGATATGTATTTTATGGTTATGACTGGTATTTTAGATGTCATTGCGAGGACCAGTGTAAGACTGAGGAGAAGTTGAAATGTGCTGTTTGGAGTGGGATGTTCCACTCAGCTCAGCTTAAACATATGACCTTTCATTTCATAGTATTCCACTTGAGACTTGTATGACTAATGCAACTTTCCCCTCCATGGTGGAGGTAGATGTATCATCCCCCAGTAAACTACAACAGATCTATATACAGCCATCCTGATTTCCACTCTTTCTTAGGGCTTATTTTACGAGCTATAAGCTTAGTATTATCAGAGCTGCTCCTGGGTGAGGTCAGACTGGAGTAAATGAATTTTATTAGAGACAATTTCTACCATTTTACACTGCTGGGTCAGCTGTGGTCTCTGGCTCTGCAGTGTAAAATTGGCTTTCTACCTCTGCAAATCTCTGACATCTACTCAAATATAAACGTGAAAAATGTCAACTACATGATTTTAGATCCAAACCTTACTAAGAGTGGAGAGGTGGTTAGAACAGCTCCTCAGAAATCAAGAAGTCAGCATTTTAGCAAGCCTTTGAAGGCTGTTCAACAGATTGTAAAGGTTGTGTGGTTCTTTATTCATTTCCTGAATAAAAGCTAAATTAGTCATCAGAGCAAAACTTTTTTGTATCTATAGTACCAATCTATATTTCTGAAGTTAAAACAATTATGTAGAAAGAAAGTTGTAAGTTAGAACTGGGGCAAAGAATCTAGACAGGATGAGTCAAATTTTAGTCTGAAAATTAAACTGTTAATATAAGCTTGCTTCACTTGCTGTAATTTAGAATATTGTTTGAAAATGGCTTAAGACAATACTTTTGATGAAATGTGAATCAAAATCCCTATGGAGTTGTGTTTGAATGTTCTGAAGGTCTGCTGAAGCTGTGTAGAATTTTCTCTTTTCTTTGTGTGCTAGGTTTTATTTTAAATGTACAATTCATGAAATCAATTTATAAGATCACTTTATTGGCCAATTCTTGTATTAGGAATTTGTCTTTTCCTTCATCATACCCCAGTTTCTTCTCCATGAGACATGCAGACACAGAAAGTGATAGAAGCTTGGGGTCAGAGTGCAGGGTCAGCCATTTATACAGTGTCCCTGGAGCAGTTGGAGTTAAGGGCCTTGCTCAGGGGCCCAACGGAGTAGGATTCTTCTGCCAGCCGCGGGATATGAACCGGCAACCTTCCCGCCACAGGCGCAGATCCTTAGCCACAGAGCCACCACTCTGTCCCCTTATTGCTTATAAAGAGTGAAAATGCAAGGCAGACAGGTAGGTTTAACTTCCGGCTCGGCATGCAAAACAGTGATGGCAGCTGTTGTTTGCTTTCGTCCAGCCTCCAATCCCTGTGAAGGCAACGGCGGACGGGGACCGTGCACACACTTGTGCCTGATCAATTACAACTGCACTGCGGCCTGCGCTTGCCCACATCTCATGAAGCTGGCTCCTGACAACAGATCCTGCTTTGGTAAGAGACCAGGAACTCACAGAACGTGAAATTGAGCTCATCCTAATCCACGCTGCCTCAAAAAGGACCCTTTACCTTTGCAAGAAAGAGATGTCAGTGCCTGGGAGGGAGGCTGCAGTCTGTGGGGGAAGAAAAAAAACTTAGATATTTGTCCTCCTATGAAAAAAAATCATTCATTCAGAATTCATGGAGTCCTAGGGATATTATACAGTTCTTAATATTCTCCAGCTCAAAGGTACAACAAAAGTAATTTTCTTTCCCATTGTTGAAGGTCTTGGTTAAAGATCACAGGCGCATGGTTGAATATATACATTTTATCAGTGAAGGGCAGCTTGCCACACAGTGGCAGACTGTATATTGAGGAAGCAGGAATTGAATGACTAAGGATAGAGAACAAAATGAAAGTAGAAAGACAGTGAAGAGGCTGCAGATTCATAAAATTAAATCTACCAATCCTGGAACTCCGAAAGTCTCCCTGGTGATATTTTCTAATTTCCTGAGCTAGAATGTAAAAAAGGCTGGATTATCCTGCTTTGAAAGATGAACTAGGACTTCAAGAATTAAATGAATATTAATTGTTTTAGTATTTATATTGAACACAGCTTATGTTTTTAAAAGGCTCTAAAATTTTTACAGTATATCAGTAGAATACTCACTTTACGAAAAATACATTTAACAAGTAAATACTGGACAATCATTATAAATTATGATTAATTTCACATGCTGAATCCTTTATGATTTATATGTAGATATGCAATACACCATATATATATATACATGTTACTGTTGTTTTATCTAGATTTTTCCTGTAGCTAAATAGTGGTTGTATGTGGGAAAGTCTTAATAAGGTTAATTTTAGAAAAACAAAACTACTATATATGAGTTAAATATTATGTTTCCAGTAGTTGTACTACTTTGAAAGTTTCAACTGTATCTCAGTTTGCATTCCACTGATATACTGTACGTTACTGTAAATATACAAAACATGATTTTGTGTATAGGGAGTCCAAACAATGCTGTCCTAGAATTGATGGCTTTGTGAAATGTGTTTCTCTGAGAAGGACCTTGTTGCTGGAAAAACTGCAGCATGCAAAATGAACAAGGAAGCACTGTTACCGTACATGGTTTCTCGCTATGCATGGTGAATTGAAGACACTTGCCATGACTGTGCTGTGATGCAGTTTTTAGAGAGATTTTAAGATTCTGTAGGCTCCAGCCTGTGGTGACGCTCACTAGGATAAGCAGCTTTCTCATGATGGATGAATGGATCTTCGGCAATTATGGCAAGATGTGATGATGTAGATGAAAACATCTTTCGTACTTGGGAAGCAAGAAAATGGGCAAAAGTTTTCATTCATTGTGCTTTTTTCATCAAGAGAAAGCTTATTTCATCTCCATATGTCTAATATATATATAGCTTCACTGCTGAGTGTGTGGAGTCTGTAAGCTTTCAAGCATTTTTTTTAAAACAACCTTGAATTGTTCCTTTGCCCTTCACATGCTGATGTGGCTCTCCACCGAAACATTTCTCTTCACTTGTGTTCCTCTCTGGAACAACAGTAAAATGGCACACATTGAGTTTGTTTCAAACAAAATGTTGGTGAAAGAAAACTTTGTTATTAAATATTTGGGTAAGTTGTCTTTTTCAAATCTATGGACTGATTGTTAATTGATATCTATATGAACTGAAGTACTTTATATTATAAGGATATGATGCTACATCATCTTTAGCAACCCATATAGACCTGACCTCTGTATACAGTATTTCAGGGAAAATTTAATATTTCTGTTTATTTTTCTCTTTAATAGCCCTGAAGAAATTCCTCTTGTATGCTAGACGTTCAGAAATCCGTGGAGTTGATATAGATAATCCATATCTGAACATTATAACAGCCTTCACTGTTCCTGATATTGATGATGTGACTGTTGTGGATTATGATGCTTTTGAGGAGAGGATTTATTGGGCTGATGTGAAAACCCAAACAATCAAGCGAGCTTTTGTCAATGGAACTGGGTTAGAGACAATCATGTCCGGAGGTAAGAAGAAATGCTTTTTGAAAATAACAGCAGTAACTTTAAAAACCTTTTTGTAGATCACATTTTTGATCCTAGACTGTAATAAAGATTTTTAAGCAATGAAAATCGATATCAGTTGCTCAATGTAAGATTCCCTTGAGAAAACTAAAAGTTTAACTTTTGCAATGCAAGAAAGTTTTACTTTCTTTCCATGTCACATTGCATAATTCAGTCTTTTTCTTTTGTGGAATACTATGAAAACCTATCGGGGAACATGTGTCATTCTTGTGTTCTCCTGGATCCAGATTACACACACAAGCACTCACATACAGTACACAAGTGTTGCAGATATTTCAGGTGTCCAAAATGGCAATTTGTGCCAAATATTGATCATGTACTCCAAATGAAATAAGTGAAGACAGTTGTCTGTAAGATGGAAGCCTTTTGGCTTCAATAAGTATTCATTTGCAAATTTGTAAAGTTTTGATTTGCTCTAGGTATTCTAGGTAATTTATTTGGTCTCATCAGTACACTGTAACTTAAACTTGGACATGGATATCAGAACAAGACAAAATGTTTTTAACATAAAAATGGTTATGCAATTCATAAAGTTAGATTCATGTTTCTTTCTATTTTTGGATTAAAACTTATTTCTTTTCAGTTTCAGTCTAATTTCCAGAATTTCCAAACTCATCCCAGTGTGTAAATGTTTTAAGGGAACTAATATAGTACATGTCTTTTTATCACGTTACATATTACTGTGTTTGCTTTTTGCAATGCACTGGTCTTAGTTTTCCCAGACATCTGTTGGCCTGTCTCATTTCTGTAATGTGGCGAAGTAAATCAGATTAAAGTAGCTCTCTCCCAAGCCAGCTGAAGCCCTGAACCTAAAGCAACACATCACACATGTTTTCAGCTGACAGAAACTCTTTTGGCTTAAATGTGAGACTTTGGGCAGGCAGCTGGTAATCAGAGCTGCAGCCTTAGGTCATAACTTGTGAAGCACAGTAAAGCAGAGTGTTCCATAGTTTTTTAACAGGAAGATTTGGATTTTGGGATAGTCTGATTGCAATGATGCTTCCTAAACAATATACTTTATCAGAATGTCCCAGTTACTCTCAATTTAAGGTACTGCATTTCAGGTGTTATTATTTCAATTGTTTCAGAAGTTTAACATTTGTAAAAGTTGCAATGTACTTGTCATGATCTTAGTTAATGAAGTAAAGAGGACAAAAACATCTTTCTTGTCTCATTTGTGACCAAGGTGTGCACTCTGAATTGAGCTTAGTAATCATTCAGTTTTGATTGTAAACAATAAAGAGGTTAACATCAGATAGGTTGAAACTTGATAGCATATACAAATATAAATGTGGTATGAAAAAAATATTAAACAATTGAATACAGATAGAGCAGTGTGTGTGAAATACATTTTTATAATCAAAACCTAAAGTAAGATTGTTTCCTGAGAAAAAATAAAGATCATATAATGCAAAGGTAAACGTGAAAGAAGCACATCACATTCACAACAAGCTATAATAAGAAACTATATATACAGTATAAAATGAATAGAAATCTAAACACTATACAACTTAAATTCCATTATTGGAAAAATTGTCGCAGGCTCAGTGTTGACCGGGATTTAAAAGCAGCTATTTTCAGGCAACAGCCCAAATGCCTCCACATGCCACATTAAGCATTCACTGATCTGCCTGGCGATTTTACAAAGCAGTGCTGCTCCACAAGAGAATATTTAAAAAATAGCACAATGCAGTGTGTTGGAGTGTGATGTGCTCAGCGCGTTCTGGTGCAGTATCCGGCGTGGATCTGTAACTACAGTGCTTTCATTTCCTGGACAGTTAATAACTCTAAACCGGTTAATACAATCAATTCATCTCGGAGTGCTACACTAAATGGTAAAGGAATGGAGAGGGAAGAGGTCTTTGTCTATACTGTAAATAGCCAGTTATTTAAGAATTAATTATAAATCATAGAATAATAAATGTTATGGTTGTTTTATAGTTGTATTGCTAAAAGCACTTCTTCCTCTTCAGACATGTTAAACGTCCGTGGGCTTGCTATAGACTGGCTGTCAAGAAACATGTACTGGATAAGTTCCGAGAATGACGAGACACAGATCAGTGTTGCTCGCTTGGATGGATCCCTCAAGACGTCTGTCATCCATGGGATTGATAAACCCAAGTGTCTCGTGCTGCATCCTTCAAAGGGGTACATTAAGGCTTTTGTGATCTCCATGTCCTTAAGTGTTAAAATATTATGTAAGAAAAGTAAGACACCAGTGAAATCAGGACCTTTAACTACTCAGTGCTCACATACAGTAAGCACTGTGAATGATTTTGTGGGATTCCTGTTGTTTTTCTAGGTTTCGTAATATTATATTTAAATATAAAAATGATCTACAATTAGCAGACATCATTGTGCAATAAACACTGTATACTTTGAAAGCCTTCTTTTGTATGAATTTAGTCCTGAAACACTTAATATTTCTGGAACAATATACTGTATCTTGTCAATTGGAATTGGGATTTAAAAAAAAAATAACTCTGAATTAACTCTGAATTTAAAAAATGCTGGATGAGTTCATCAGATTAATTAATCACTGAAAATAACCTAAAAGGAGTAAATGACCACCTTTCAAATTGTAAAATTATTTTATTGATATGGTCTTATACAAATACAACATTCTTGGAATTAAGTGAGAAAAATCCTAACAAATGGATGGATGTGACTACAGGAGATTTTGAAGCAACACCAATGTATAATAAATAAACAGAATGCATAATTTGTATAATATAGAAATAAGTAGAACATACACATCTGCTGTACTGTATGAATATTTGTTTTTTTACTCCACTTTTTGGCTACACCACAATTACTTTAATCTTCAGTGATTTTCTTGGTTTATCCACAATTTAGCTGTAAGCTAGTTTTGATAATCTGCACTGCAAAGTATCTAGCAGAAACCAGGTTTATACATAATACGACAGATATATCCAATTAAGTGACAACTTAATTTTCTGTTTTCCATTTGAGGTTGTATTTTGTCAGTGATACTCTTTTGAAGTTTTGCTGCTGTGAGAGATTCTGGGGCATGAGATCAGAAAGTGTTTAAGGGCCAAGTGAGTGTAGGCTTTTGGCCAGGTGTCAAAATTTTTTTTTTATTAAAATCAGTGATTTTAACATAGACATGCATACTCTCACACCAGGGCCAATTTCCCCAGAAGCCAATTACCCTAACAGTAACAGTATGTTTTTAAAATGTGGGAGGAAACCAGAGTACCTTAAAATCACAACCTCGAGGCGTATAAAAAAGGACGTCAGGCTGCAGTTTCCCTTAACAAATTACCTTAACATTATTCCCCCCAGGGATAATAAAGACTCTCTCACCCAGAGGAAAGCCACGTGAACTTAGAACTTCACAGAGACAGCACCCCAGGTCCAGAATTGAACCCAGGGCCCCAGCCCGGCAAGGCCTCAACACTAATAACTGTGCAGAATAAATAGAAATGTGATATATTGATCATAAACATTCTAATAATGAGAAGGAAGGTATTACTTGTATGAAGGTTGTAATTGGACACATTCAAGTGTGATAATTTGCAGCATACATCCAAGCCAAGGAGAGTGCAAACACAAGAGAGGTCTTGGTTAGCTGAGCCCAAGCTATCTAAGTCAGTAACTAAACAGTAGCATAGTAACTGCATGTCAGTCTGTGTTGGAGCACACATTTACAGTCATGCTGCTAAACATAATTCTCATGCCCAGGGTTATTCATTTATACATGTTCTAGCCATTCACTGCGGTCACAACATACTGTAGACACAACATCACTTATTCAATGCAACATAGTACAGGTTTCTAGTGGTAGCAGATTTATTATTTTTGCTTCAGGCAGCTTTTTGTCACACGAAATCTGGATTCTGTGTTACTTAATGTTTATTGGTTTGGTACAGTAGCTTAGGCATACAATCTGATGAATAAATACGATGCCTATTTAAGGCACTTCAAACAAATTAGAGTCAGAGTCTATACCTAGAGATTCTGTGATCAGGGTCCTTTGTTCTATCAAGTATTGCGAGGGATGTTATTCATTTTGTTTTTTTCAGGAAGCTCTACTGGACTGATGGAAACACAATTAACATGGCAAATATGGATGGCAGTAACAGTAAGATCTTGCACCAGAACCAGAGAGAACCTGTCGGTAAATCTAGAACATTTTCTTCTCTTGTGCCATTCGTCTTTCAAAATGATATTTGTTTCTGAAGTCAGTCAGGGGTTCTTTGGTTTAACATGAAGCAGCAGCCCTCTTGTGCCTTACTGAGTCCCATAATCATGCAGTGAGAGTCATGTCAGTCCTTCATCACATGTTTAGCTCTCCTGTGTGTGCACATTTCAGAGGATGTGGGCATGTAGTCATCACTCTGCCATGCTGGTCTGAAGGTTTTAGTGGGAAACTGGGCTGTTTGATATCTTTTGTAGTAATGACAAAGTGGTATTTAGAAATTCAAATTAAAAAAAGGTAATGAATAATAATAATAGCTTACTTTATTGTACTGTAAATATATATTTTAAAAGCTTTGACCTTAATTATACAGATCATATAAATGTGAATGACCTTGCAAATTTTACTTTTGATTTTTAAAAAGTGTTGCCATTTTTAGACCATAGACTGATATATGCAAGCTTTTTTTCCAGTCTCTTTGAATCTGCTGTTTCATGTAAATTTAATGTGGAATTGTACAGAAGGGTTTCATTTTGTTAAAACACACCATGATGATGAAAGCTGACAGCCAGTAAACAGTGATTTTCCATTTTCAGTCACAATTTATCAGTACCAGATGAACTATGTTAGAGAAGATCTGATGCTCTGTTCATTTTTGGCATCAAATCAAAAGCACCCACTACCCTCACTCAGACTGGGAAGTCTGGTTAATAAGTAATCCGCCTGACAGTATTAAATACAGTTCATTGGTGAAACATCACAATATAGCCAATGGCCTTTGGTTCCATATGGTCAATGTAGTAGTGCACTGGTGACTGAGTCCCCTGAGCCTGTTAAAGAACCTCATTTATTTTACAACCTTGTCACATAGCATGTGAAGATTTATTAAGACTTTCTTTCGGTTAGTGTCATAATAGCCCAAGGTCATATTTCTAGTTTCTTAAACATACTGATCCTGTTTTCCACCAGCCTGATATTGGCACCATAAATCTTTGTTGACATTTTATACATACGATAAGGAAAGGAAACCAACTTTGAAATAACTCCAATTATAATTGTCATGTTATCTTGGGAATTATTGCAATTAATTAGACATGCAGATCATTTGCCCTTTGCACATACAGCACAGCACAGATCAGTGTAAATTCTCTTGCTGCAAGAGATCAACTGCACACAGATGATGAACCACATTGGTGAACTGCTTTTGCCTTAAAGAAGAACTTGTCACTTGAGGAAATCTCATTTAAAGGAACATAAATCACCCTTAGGAGTGCATTAAAGATTTTCTACATACAATTACCAATCATTGCTATTTTCTGTGCTTTTTGAGAGCTAAATCAACATAAATTAGTGATTTTGTACTTTATGATATTTTTTTCTTTAAACTGTTGTTTCTAGTTTTTTTTACATACTGATAATTACAGTATAATTAATCTATTCCCCATAAGTGAAAAGTGGAATGGAAAGTATATAGTGAAAGAAGCTTTTTTTATTGTCTTAAAATATGTTTATACTTTAAATGTGTTGTTTAAAAGAATCCAGTTTTCTGTGTTCCCTTCTTGTGAATACAGTTCAATGTAATACTAAAATATCAGGATGTTTTGCTTATAGGACATATAATCTACGGTAGTAAAAAAGTAAACTCAGAAGGTACAGTAACATCTCTTTTATTGCAGGTCTGTCAATAGACTACGCTACAAACAAGCTTTACTGGATCAGTTCAGGAAATGGAACCATTAACAGATGTAACCTAGATGGCAGTAATCTAGAAGTTATAGAGTCCATGAAGAAAGAATTGATAAAAGCTACAGCTTTGGCTGTTATGGGTGAGTATTGTGTTACTGTACCGTATATCTAGAACCTACTATTGACTGAGAACAATGTGAGAAGATTAATTGTTCTCAAAGTAAGTGCCTTGAATACAACTCTTTCACCATTACAGCAGGTGTAATCATTAAGTGTATTTTTTGTTTTTTCCTTATTGTGCAAGCCATGTTATATTTTAAATGCACATTCTCTGTCAAGTGATCTGTACAGTATACTGTACGTTGATAAATGTATTTATTGAACTGTCTACTAAACACTTTACTGGGAGATGTATGTGTGTACAGAGATTTCAGTGGTTTCATTAAGGACAGGCTCATAATACATGTGCACCTGGAGGTGATTAGATTAAAGGTAGTTCTAGGCCATATCCAACAAGGCCTCAGTTCCTCTCTCTGAAAGTTAATGCTTCTCCATTCTGAATTTTACAGTATAGTTTACTAGAGACTTCAAAACATACAGTATGTACAGTATGTTAAAAGCAGCAGGTTAAATAGTTTTTTTTTCCAAACAGTACAGCATAAAAGAGCATGTCTGTATATCTTACATTCAAAACAATGTATAATTAGTAGCATTTTGTTATTTGCAGCTACTTAACTTAGTAATTAAGTCCAAGTATTCAAATTCTGAACACATGGTTTTTCCACACAAGATTAACTTTCAGAATTCCTTAATTTTGCTCCAATTTCTGTGGGGTGGGATATATTTATTATATATATATAAATTATATTAAATGTCATTTAATGAAGTCTATAGAACAATGTGCTTCCATGTATAGATTTTGCAAAGTGCATATCTTACAAAAAAAAGAAAAATATAAGAATATTGCAGTTAGCTGTTTCTACAAAGACTGCTTGCATCAGTGTATCTTACAGGCCTATTGTAACACAGATTGCATTCTATATTTCAAGTACAATATTATCCAGATATTGTCCAGATAGGCATGAGGGTTTATTGATGGCATCGTCTTCACTAGTCACTGTTCAGGAGCTACAGTAAATATGGCTGAAATGTAAATGAAATCTACAGTACGACTACTAATTTAGATTCCATCTCAATAATCCTAATCCATGGAAGAAAATGTTTAGTACCCTTATTAAAGTCAGTCATTGTTTCAATAATAAATAATAAATCTTTTTCTGGAAACAGGAGACCTTCATTGTTTCACTGGCTCCCATAGCAAAGACGCTTTAGAAGTTGTGGTAAAACAAACACTGCTATGAATCTTTCAATAATTTCAGTCAGGCACCCATAAGAACACAAAAATGTTACACTTCAGAAGAGGTCATTCTGCCCATCTAGTTCATTTAATCATATTCAACTATTTGTTGATAGAGACCAGAGTACCAGCTCCAGCAAAAGGGTTGTGTAGTTGGTTTCATAAAGACATGCATCTTTGTACTGCTATACTGTATCTCCACTCCTGTTACAGCACAGAAACGCTAATCTGAGTGCCAATTTCTACTTCTGTTCTAGTTCTAATATTGTACTGTCTTGCACCACATTCAGTCCAGCTTGGCACTTTGTTACAGTTTCTTAAAAACTGGATCATTTGGAAATGTGTGATTTTTATATCATGGCTGTCAAATATACTTATTGTAAAAATCATCAGTATCAGGCTTAACAAGTTTCAACTGTGGTGTCCCTCAGAGCTCCACTCTCTGCTCAGTACACAGTTGTGCTTCTTTGTAAAATATGGTAATGTTACTGCATCATTTAATATCGAAACTTTTTGCACTTACTAAGAAGAAGACAGAAGTCTTCATAGCAGGCTTCATTCATCATAATTAGGTATAGATATGGACTATTTCGTTTCCTATCTAAACTCTAAAATTCATTAACATATAACTAATGTTATATTTGGGTTGTTATTTTTGAAACAACACATTGAAAAATCCCGAAACTCATCTTTACAAGGTATTTTTGTTTTGACTGTATTATTATCGGACATGATTAAAATAGTTTTAACCTTTATTTTTTAAAATGTAAAATGTCTAATTATACTTGTTTACTGTTACTTATTTATGTCTCAGTAAAGTGCTTTCATCCCTGTGTTGAATGATGTCTTATAAATGTAAACAATTTTGCAATTAGAGAATAATAGAACATCTATAATAAGCATTTCAATAATAATAATTACAAAGTGGAGAATCATAATCAATTTATAATTGATTATATGTCATTGTAAGGTGAGTGGAGAACAAAATTGCTAAGGAGCAGATTGTTTCAATTTTCTCAAGCCAGCTGAAGTGTCCTTGACAGAAATCCATGCTGATGATACAAGGATAGAAGACAGTGGTAGAAAGGAGAGATAAGGACAACGGGGCTGATTTTCTAAACAGATATGAAGGTTCAGGTCCACTATGGATCCTGCAGATCTTGGTGTATATGAAAATCAATCCCTCTATGTGAACGAGAGAGCAATCAGAAAGAGGTCAACAAAGATGGAGCAAGTCATGGTAATCTAAAGGGCTGCAAGAGAGACATTAAGCATTTAGTCCACCTCTTGACAATCCAGAATTCACCTGACTCTGTCTTGAATTTATCTTCATGAACAAAGGGAAAATAATTCTTACTTGCAATCACATGTTTAAGAGATTGGGGCAAAATATTTGCAGGAATGAGAAGTTACAGAATGTATTTTTACACCAAAAAATAGTTAGTCATTTTAAACCAGATGGAATATGGTAACTAAGACCAGCAAAGCTAAGAAGATGCATATTTGACAGAGAGCATCTGTGTATTTTATTACAAAATATTACATATGCCTGGATCTGTGATTTGCTTATGTAAATTGAAATACTACACAAAAAGACAATTCACATCTGGAAATTTGTGATTTATTTGTCTAGGAGAAAAAGCCTTGTGTGAATAGAAATAATGATTGGTGTGGTGAAATCCTAACAAAACTGTCTGTCAACATTTTGGCACATTGTTTTAAAATTAAGGAAGGCCATATTGTAGTTTCATTATTGTTTTGTGTGAAAAAATCTGAATAGTTTATGTAACTGATCACCGTTTATTTTTTTCTAGATTTTGTTTCCCCTTTATTCAGTATGAAATAAAATACTAATAGGGTTTCCATAAAACAGTCAAACATCTATCTTGACATGTGTAATTAGGTCCCCTTCTTTTGTGTCTGAATGGCTGGATAACTTTAATTTAATGACATGTGCTGCCACTGCAATCTATTACACAATTCTGTGACTACGGCTTCTTTTTTCTATCAAAAAAGCTAAATTGCTATCGTCAATGTAAAACCAAAATCCAAAAACATTTAATCATAAAACGGGTATCAGAGTGTGTGGTATTTATTAAATGTGAAGAAGTATGTGAAGTGACAGAAAGACAAATGCCCCACACTCATAGAAGTAGCAGGGTACAGCAAAACTGTGAAATGATGAATATCCTGTGAACGATCTATCACAATTAATATGACTTTGTTTGGTAGAGGAAATAAATCAGTAGGCATATACTATAGTTTACATTTGTTATTTTCATCCAAGAAAGATACTAAGGTTATAATGTGTTTTAATACTGCATTACCAGTATATGAAAGCTTATTGTAAACCAGCCTCTGAGTGATTTATTATTACTATTTATACAACTTGAAATGGTACAATAGCAGCTTAGGGTAACACAGGTATTAAGATCATCTGCTATTTGCATATACAGTACAGCATTTTTGTGTTGTACATCAGCATCGGCTTGGCTTTGAGTAGTGTTTATTTAACCCATTTAATTTTTTTTTACTTCTCTTTCATATTTTGAGTCATTGTAGTCTTGTATGAATTTACATTTACAGTATTTTAATGGGGATCCCTTTAGCAATATGCTATATGCAAATGTGTACTATGTTTTACAAGTTATAATAAATAGAGTGTGTTTCAAATGTATCCATATCCTTGATGAAATCAGAAAACATTATATAGCATATTTGTATCACACGTATGAAATGCCACATTCTGGATCCTGGAAAGCAGGGTGGGAAACTGAAGCAGAACCAAAATATGAAAGGATCTACCATATTACAGCCACACACTTGAAGGTTACAGTATTTCGATTATATGATCTGGTTCAGCAACACAAACCTTGCTTCTATCCAAATATCATTCTATAAATAATGAAAAAATGTCCTAAGGGTGACTTATATCACAAAGCTATTGTGCTGACAGTAGCATTCTATTTATTAGAAGTACTTCTTTGCAGTTACAGTACAGTACTGTATGTAGCTCTTTTCATCCCAAAGGATCTCAGACTGATTTACATTTTGGAGGGGGCCTATTTCATCCACCTCTGAAGTGCTGTTACATCATACAGTACGTAGGCAGCTTGTTCCACAACAGTTTCTGTAAGAATTGCAACCTGTTCTCGATTTGAAATGGACTTCCAGGTACTTTCCCGATTTTGATAAATTCATCAACTTGCTGTGCACATTTGGCACTTTCTGTATTTCTACAGCTGATCAAGTGGAAGCAGCTGTCTGTATTTGGTCTTATCTTACTACCATAAGCGGAAGGTGATGGAGACTCAGCAAAGGTGTGATATTGTCAGAGAGCAACATGTCTGAGGCTGGTAATGTTAACAGAAAGAACAAGGTATCTTTTGTTGATAGCTGGAATACTTAATTACAAAATATTAAAAGGTGAAAACCTGGTGATGTGATTTGCACTCATTACCCATTGCACTGTAGAACAGCTGGGTTGTTTGGCAGTGAGTAGTTATAAGAAAAGGATAATGGCTACATAAGACAACTAATGGTCTTTAGTAGAGGTCAATGTGACACAAGTCCCTTCTTGATGGATAATACCATTGTCAGTGTTTTTTTTTTCTTCGTAGACATTGATGTGCTGTTTGGTTCAATGCTGTTCCTTGACAGTTAAGTGGCATGAGAAGTCTCAATTATGTATTGGATTCTCAGAGCAGTGAAATATTGCTTCCTCCTAAAATTAATGTTTCTGTAATCTCTAACACAGTGATTTATTCACTTGATGGTGCATCT